GACACACTTTCTCCTTTCCCAGACCCACAGCTTGGGAGCTCATTCCCCTGGTCCCAGCACACAAGGCTTGGAGACACAGACAACTGCTTGGAGACCAGGGTAGCTCCCTCCATAGGCCAGTCAATACCCCTGACAGACACAGGCATGTTTCCTTCACTGTCCCACTTCTCCACCCAGCTAACAGGTAAGGTCCAGGAACACTCATCTTCCACTCTCCTCGCCTTCCCACCCTGCTGACTAGACAGAGCCATCAGCTCACAAGGCTGCCTAGGCTCATCCAGACTTTCCTTACCCAGCACCTTGCCACTCCCCACAGATCCCCTGCCCTGCCTGTGTCTCCCCCCACTCAGCTGGGGTCTCAGCTCCCATTGTGCTCAGCACTGCCCTGGCTGTCCCAGTGGGGGTAGGCAGCGAGCTCGCTGCTTTCCTCACTGCATCAGAGCCAGCGTGAGCCCCCTCTCCGGTGTGCAGGGGGGCGGGGAGCCCCAGGGGCCTAGTTACAGGCAGGCAGGTAGCCTGAGCCTAGCAGCTCCTCCCTGCTGCCAGCCAGGTCATCTGCATTTTCACTGACTATTTCCCTGTCTGCCGATTGGTTCTCTGGATTCAAATTCAAACCCTTGGGAGTTACAGGAGCAGGGCCTGGATCCTGTCCCAAAGAGACACAGTCACCCCACAACAGGGTCTCGCAGCTGGTGTCCTGGAAAACCCCAACAACCAGACAGCCCGACCCCTCCTGGGTCTGCACAGGGATCTGGGCCATAGGCAGGGTGAGGGGCTTCGTCCCTGGGACCCTCACACAGCCCCTCAGCATCTGAGGCTGCACCACCCGGGGCCTGGCAACAGTTCTCCCTGTCCTAGGATCTCGCCACCCCAGGAATGTCTCCCCATTGACCATCACCTTCCGCTCCCACTGGAGGTCCGAGGGGCCTGGCCCCAGGAAACTCCACACAGACATATCGGTTGGGGTCAGGAGTATGAGCCTGTCCACCTCCCCACCCATCTGGCTGATGGAGTCTATGGCTTGGGACCCAGCAAGGGAGCTAGACGCCGGGGCTTTTTCGCAGGGTCCCCCTGGTTCAAATCTCCAGCCTGCTCAAAGGCAGTGAGGTGGCCATCCACATCCCCCTGCTCCTTAACCAGGGGCAGCAATTTAGTCTCGAGGTTCCCTGCGGAACTGGCCCCCAGGGTCTATCCCCACGCACCCCTGGGAGGTCCCCTAGGCCTCTCTGCCCCACCATCGCCAGTTCATGCTGCTGCTGCTTCTGCAGCTCTTTCTCGGGCTCTCGCTGTCTCCCACGGTCCTCTTGCTCTCTCGGACTCAGCTCCAATCCCGTCCGACTCCAATCCCCCGATGGGGAACCCGATCGTGAAGACCCTCATCTGGTCGGGGACAGGAGTCTTGGCGATGCCTGGCTCCCACTCCAGCTGCTCCCAGATCCTGCTATAGCCCCATTTGGGGTCAGGAATTTGTTCCTTAGTGCGGTCATCCTCCTCCAGCTGCACGATTAACTGTGCTTTGGTGAACTTTCCAATGCTCAATCCCCTCTTCCTGCACAGGGTTACAATGTCCTTCTTCAGGAGACGGTGACAGGCCATCACTCCGCTCTTCCCAAGTTGTTGTGGACTCACAGGCCTGTGTGCTCTCAGCTCCCCACGCTTTCCAGGGAGAACCCCTCGTGTGCCAGCCCTTCTCAAGGTCACCACCTCTTTGCCAGGGTCAAGCTGCAGACTCCTCCGCCCCTGGGACTGCTCGCTGCAATCCCCCAGGGGACCCTGTTACTGCAAAAGTCCTTCTCTCTGGTCACACACTCCCAGGGGTTAACCGCCCCCTGAAACCATCTCTCTCTGAATCTTCAGCACGCCTGGTCCCCGTCAATCCCCCTTCGTTTTACTGCTCCCCAGTCACTTACTGCAGGAAGTCCATGGGGTGCAGTAGATCCCACCGCTGCCACCAGTGGTCACGGAGTCCCTGGGCGATGCTCTGGAACTGCTCCCCATGAAGCCAGTCTGGACTCTGGGGCAGTTGCCTTTCTGTGAGCAGCCTGTCTTCAGGACACACAGCTCACCCAGCTTCCACCTCCCTGGGTCTGATCTCGGGGCATTCAGCATCCTCTCCCTTCCGTGCGCTTCCCACAGCGAGTCCACTCAGGTGGGGCTCCTGGGGAAGCCAGAGGGTCCTGCCCCCCAACTTCGCAGTCAGACGTGACTCTCAGCCAGCCAGTAAAACAGAGGTTTATTAGATGACAGGAACATGGTCTAACACAGAGCTTGCAGGTGCAGAGAACAGGACCCATCAGCTGGGTCCATTTTGGGGGAGAGTGAGCCAGACAACCAGGTCTGTACTTCACTCCATGTCCCAGCTAGCCCCAAACTGAAACTCCCCCCAGCCCCTCCTCCTCTGGGCTTTGACCGTTTCCCGGGCCAGGAGGTCACCGGATTCCTTTGTTCTCCAACGCTTTAGCTCTCACCTTGCAGGGGGGAAGGGCCCAGGCCATCAGTGGCCAGGAAACAGGGTGTTGGCCATTCTCTGTGTCCAGACCCCTGCACACACCTGCCCTTTAGGGCTCTGCAATGATCATACACCCTTACCCCACCACCCAGACACTCAAGGACTGTATAGGGGAAACTGAGGCACCCCACACTATTCAAAGGAAACATTAAGAACAGTCCCACTTCGTCACAACAGGTACATAGGTGTCTCTCTGTATCTCTAAGCATTGCTCTGAGAGACCCATCCAGCACCCCCTGACATTGGCTGGCTGGCGGCTAGGACGCAGCGTGTGGCAAGGGGCCCTGAAGCCAGATGTGTCCCGCTCCCCAAGCCCCATGTTTGGCAGAGGAGCTGTGATGCTACAGTGTTCCCTCCACCCCCTCCCAGCCCCACATGGCAGCCGACCTGCAAGACGGTTCCTAGCTCAGTGTTCGGGACACAGTGTCATGAGCAGCTCAGCCTTCCTGGGCAGCAGACAAATATATTTCCTGCCCCTGTATTCTCCAGTGGTGTGACCGGAGGGGTCCAAGCCTAGATGGGCCCTGTAACAGAGTCACTACCCTCTCATAGCCAGGGAAGGCGCCACAGCAGCTCCAGCCTCAGTTTCCCTGGGAGACTCCCAGAACTAGCCCACCAGGGCTTTCTCCCGCGGCTAGCACTCCAGCACAGGGAGGGGTTCGAAACCACCCTCCTCCCATAGGCGCCAACTTTTGCCAGCGCCGGTGCGTGCTCAACCCCCCCCACCCCACCCCCGGCCCTGCCCCCATTCCACCCCTGCCCCGCCCTCTCCCACCCCCATTCCAACCCTTTCCCCAAAGTCCCCGCCCCAACTCTACCCCCTCCCTACCTCTATTGGACCCCTTCCCCAAATCCCCGCCCTGGCCCCGCCTCTTCCCGGAGAGCGCCGCGTTCCCCCCTCCCTCCTAGCGCTTGCCGCCGCAAAACAGCTGTTTCGCGGTGGCAAGGGCTGGGAGCTAGAGGGAGAAGCCGGGAAGGCACACTCTGGGGAGGAGGCGGAGGTGAGCTGGGACGGGGAGACGCTGGTGGGTGCAGAGTTGGTGCCTATGCCTCCTCCCCCACCCCACAAACCGCATCTTCTGCCAGGGCCTGGAGCCCTTCGTCCAGCCGTCGCTCCTTCCCTATCCCTGGTTTGTCTCCTCTCTGCCTCAGACAGCTCAGCAGAAAACCCCCCTCTGCAGCCCCCGCCGCCCCCTTGAATCCCATGGTCTACCGCAAGGGCCTTGGGGGTCTCAGCACTTTCCCCTCCCAGCTCTTTGCTGAGGTTCCTTTTCCCCAGGCTTCTCCCCTGCTGACCCCAGTGGCCTGGCTTAATCCCACGTTCCCTTTCCAGTTGACGAGCCCCATTTCCCATTACAGGGCCAGGCCACCCTGTGACAGGCCCATTGGTCTGACCAAGCCCAGACGTTCCTCGGTTCAATGGAAAATCACTTGACCCAAACTCGGGGAAACGTCCCTCCTGCCACACGGACCCCACGATGCTGGGGGCCAGAGCTGCGGCCAGGGGACGCCTTCCACACTGTCCAGCAGAGGCAGGCAGCCAGGCATCAAGGCGTTCACAAAGCCACTGGCACCATGCACCCCAAAGGTGTGGGGCACGGGGGGAGGCTGGCCTAGCTGGGCAAAGCGATGGAGTCTGGGGGGTTAGTCCAAATTTGGAGGGGGCTGCACTGGGGTGCATGCGACAGGATCTCTGAGCTATGGTGCATACAGGACCCCCGCCTGCTGGGGCTGGAGAAAGCAGATCCTGGCCACGCAACGCCCGCGCCCGCCAGGGGCGTTCTCCACTGGCTGCCGACGCCCCGCCACACAGCAGCTGCGGAAACCATGGCCTGCAAGCATCCGCCGCGAGCCCCGCAGTGCGACGGCCAGGCCCAGCTGGCCTCCCTTTGCCGACCATTGAAAGCCCCCAGTGTTTATTTGTTACAGCTTTACGGACCCGCCCCGCCCAAGCCCCATTCAAGAGACCGTGTCTCCGCACACGCACTGTGCCCGCCACCTCGCTGCCTGGCTTAGCACCGCCGGGGACCAGCATGTGTCTATGTGTAGCTTGCTTCATTGTCCCCTGTGCTTCACCCGCTCCGGGCTCCTTTCCCATCGTCCCACGCCAGGTGCTGTCTGTTGTGCCCGGGCACAGCGGGCGGAATGCCCTCCAATGCAGTGGTGCCTAACTATGGCGCTTGCCGCAGGGCCCTCGAGGGACAGGGATGCCAAGCCGGCCCCTTGTGCCAGCTGTTCCTGGCTGCTGGGGGTGATAGCAGGGTCCCCCAGCAGGTTGGCTGGAGGGTCCTGCTCAGAGGGAGATGGAGAGCCCAGTGCCTCCTTCCAGCCGGGCCTGGGATCTGCACTCCCACCGGACACGCACGTGTGAGAGAGCAGACAGGTGGCTGAACAAGGCAGCCCAGGAATGCTGGTAAATAATTCAGCCAGACAGCTGATAGCGTCTCCAGATCATACCCAGGAACGCGGGCAGGGGCCGGGATGGGGGGGAGCGGCAGAGCTCTCTCAAGGGCGTCCAGACCCGGAACCGCTCCAGTACCTCTGGGAAATCCACCTCCCTTGCCCAGCGCTCCCTGGCTGCACCTTTCTCCTGAGCCCAAACCGGCCTAACCAGCTCTCCCGAGCCACCCCCCAAAGCCACGCCGGGGAAGGCAGCTCGCAGGCAGGGAGCTCAGAGCCAGCGTGAGGCGGAGGGAGAGATTTGATGATGCCGCGCCGTTGACTTGGCGAGCCGGACGGCGGAGTGGCGGCAGTCCTGCCGAGCAGTGCCCCCCAGCTGGACGGGGGAGGGGACCCCGCCAGGGGTCTGCAAGCCTCACCCAGGTCCTGGCCCCCTGTCCGTCCCTCCCCCCCCACCCCCGGTAGAGTCAGCAGCAACGGTAGCAGCGGTAAGTGGAGGATGGAAGGGACCGACTATCGCGGGTGCCTGTGAGCTGGGGACTAGGGGGCGAGGGAGCCGCAGAGGGAGAGAGAAGGGTGCGTGGCCTCAGGGGATAGGGACCGATCCCTCCCCAGGCTCCCTCCTGGGCTTTGACCTCAAGGCCGCCAGTTCAAATGCAGCCCAGGGCCAGACCGAAGCGCCCGGCCCCTCGTTGGGGGAAATTGGCTGGTCGGGTCTCAGGCCAGGTCCCCGTGTTGACAGAACAACGAGTAGGAGTTAACCAGGCAGAGAGGCCAAAGTGCCAAGCGGGCCATGGAACCTGAGCGCATGCCTGGGGGCAGCCGTGTGCACCTCAAAGACAAGGTGCACAGGGCTGAGCTGCCCATCGAGGGGGTCCGGCTGGCAAACTCCTTCCCCTCTCTCCCCTCAGCCCTGCTTTGCTGCAGGGACCGCTCCCCCACTCGACCCCCCCCGGGGAGGTTGCTGGGCGGCGCAGGGGAAGGATGCTGTGCTCAGAAAGGGACGCAGACGATCTCGAAACCTGGGCAATTCCAGACCCTGCCTCAGCGGAGCCCTTTATGACACTGCGCCTGGGGCCCCTGAGGAGTGCATTGCAGGTCCTGGGCCGGGTCCCCGGCTGCTGGACCCCCAGCTAAGGAGTAGGGCATGCTCCTGGCGCTGGCGATCTCTCGTTCAATCCCCTGCCCAGGGCTTCTACAACACACACCCATTAGAAGTTACAGCCACTCCAGGATCTTCCCCCTTCAGCTGCTGTCCCTAGGAAGGAGCAAATCAGAAGTAATTAGTCTGAAGGCCTTGGAGCCCTGGCTATGTGCCCTGCGGGGGAACGTCTGGGAGGAGTGGTTGACTGCCAGAGCATCATACCAGGCCGTTGAGTGGAACAGGTTTCGGGGGACACTCCCTCCTTGATGTCTGGGGTGCCCGGGAGCCCTGCCAGGGCTGGGGATGGCTAATGACACCCTGCTAGTCAGGGCTAGCCCTTGGGTTGGGCTCTCTGCTGACAGCTGGCCGGGGTAAAGTGCCGTCGGCCCTTAGGGCTTTGCAAATAACCACAAAGATTCCGCTCTCGCTTGTTAAGCCTGTGGTGTGGAAGGGATTGGGATCCCCATTTATCTGACTGGGGAACTGAGGCACAGAAAGGCCAAGGGGCTTGCTGAGCATCACCGTTAGTGAGCTGGGAATAGAATCCAGGAGTCCTGGCTCCCAGGTCTTTGCTCAGGGCTCCAGGCTGGGCGGCCTCCCGGCACCTTTTGTACCTTTAATTCCAAAGGGGACGGGTGCCAGGCAGTGCCATGTGGAGCTGTTTGGACAGAGGGCTCCCACTGATGTCCCTGGGGAGAGAGCCCACCTGGGCTCTCCGCTGCACTCACTGGCGGTCACCTGGACGATGGAATTGGGTGGCCCTGCCTGTAGTGAGTTTGACAGGTCTCAGTCCAGTTCAGCAAATGGGCCTCGGAGCCCAGACTGCCCTCAGCCCCAAGAGAAAGTCCCTCCAGGGGTGGGACGTAGCAGCTGTGTAACAGCACACAGCAACCCCACGCAGGCATGGCTCACCCAGCACCAACATGCAGCCACCTCTGGGGTGGGACATGGCAGCTGTGTAACAGTGCAGAGCATTGGCAGAGGGGGACAGTGAGTAGAAACAGAAGGAGATTTGCCTCTTCTGAGGCTGCTGACCGAGCAGAGAATTCACTTAGGATAGGAACAAGGACAGGAGCCAGGGTAGCCTGTTGGCTGGAGTGTGGGGGCCTCTGGCTCGCTGCCTCTGTGGCTAGGTCTATTTGCTTGAATACACAGGGACTTCACTCCCTCTGGCCCTTCCCTTGCTCCCACCTCAGCTCTGGCAGCCGGTCTGTGGCTGGGGGCTGTCAGTAAAGCAAATGGGTTTGAATTCGATTAGCAGCTGTGGAGAGGACTAAAATAAAACGGCAGGATGGAGGAGAAACAGAGGGAGCCAGAAAGAAAAAGACAAGGAGAGGGAAGGATAAACCAGGGCCCAGATCTTAAATGTCTCTGTGGATTCTCATCTTGAAGAATCTCTCTATATAGATACAGATCACTTTGTGCAACAGTGCAATGCAGCCACTTCTGGGGTGCGGCATGCCAGCTGTAAAACGGTACTCAGGAATTTTGTACAGGGATCACTCACCCAGCACTGAAATGCAGCTGCTTCTGGGTGGGACCCGGCAGCTACATAAAAGCACACAGCAATGCCACACAGGGCTGGCTCACCCAGCATTGTCATGCAGCCATCTCTGGGGAGCCCGTATGTAGAAATGGACCCTGTATGCATTGGAGTGTGTATGCATGGGGGGAACGTAGCATGCGTGGGGGAAGAGATGAGTTAGGTGGAAGGAGGGATATGGCCCCATTCCACTCCCTTTCTCCCTGCTGTATGCTGACCCCGTGCCTGCCTCCTGGGACGTGTCCACAGCCCCCCTCCCGCCCTGGGCCCCCTCCAGCCCAGCTCCCTGGCATCCGCTTTCCCTGATCCTGCAGTTTGCCAGCGTCCATTATTAACCTGGCTGCTGATCGGCGTGGGAGGGCGGGGGCTGGACAAGATGGCCTCAAGTAACCTCAGGGGCAAAGGGACCCTGCTTTGATCGGATACTGTCCCTCCCCCCCCTTCCCTATGACCATTTCCCCACAGCTCTCCCTGCCAATGCCTGCCCTGAGCCATCCTTCTGTGGGGGTGGAGGGAGGGGGCGAGTATCAAAGTCCTGCCAGGCTAGCTTATTTCCCTCAGGGAACTGGTGTAATCTACCAGCTCTTTTGCTGATAGAAGCTGCTGTAACCCACCCCAGAGGCAGCCGTATTTCGGAGCTGGGGGAGCGATCCCTGTACCGTGTGGCTGTGCTTTGGAATACAGCTGTTCTACCTTCACTGGGGGAGTTTGCCCGTACGGCTGCTCTGGTCTAGCTCTGCTGGCAAACCCTTTCTAGTGTAGACAGGAGTTCCTAGAGCGGCGCTCAGCCAGCATCTGGGCCCCTGTGTGTGTGGGGGGTCCCAGTGTGTCTATGTGTCTCGCAGTGCGTGTGTGTCTCTCAGGCTGTGGGTATGTCTACACTGCACCATGAACCCGAGTTCCGACTCAGGTTTGAGCCCAATCCCCCTTCCATCCACACTCAAATCAGTCTGACTTGGGCCAGGAACCCCTTGGGACTTGGGCCCGTGGCCCCTGCCAGGAGGGTGAGACTCGGGGCAGAGCCCTGTCACTGTGCAGTGTGGATGCAGGTCGAACCGCAGACCTGAGCCGGAAGGTCGGCGGAGCACAGTGTGGACCCGTTAGCGAGGCCGTGAGACCCGGGTCTGGCAAGTGTAATTCTGCAGCGTCGCCGGACGCCCAGGCACGGGCACGGAGCCAGCCAGTCCCCCAGCGCGGATCCCGCTGTCCGCTGGGTCTCAGCGTCTGTCTGTCCATATCCCGGTGCAGCTGCGCCTCAGCGAGTGTTGGGGGGGACGCCCAGAGGAGCTGGCGGCTCCACTCCCTTCCCCTCCCAGGCCCCGCCGGCCTCACACTGTCAGCCCTTCGCACCGTGTTTGTTTGCGTGTCTATCACCCCCCGCAGACCCAGGCACCTGGGCCGGGTGGTGGGGAGGTGACGCCCCCCCCAGGTGACTCGGCCCCCAGAGAGGAGCAAAAAGGGGGCCCAGTCTATTGCTGAACGTGCTAGGACCTGAAGGGGACCCCCCCACCAGGGGAGCTCTGGCCCAGCTTCAGTAACCAGAGCCCTGTTGCCAAACTCTGTTCCTCCAAACCTCCCAGGGCAGGGGGGCAGGACGGGGTCCCCACTTCATCCCCTCCCAAGCCCCTGCCTCCTGCACAGAGATGGGGGGAGGTTTGGTCAGCTCCAGAGCCGATGCCCATAGCTGATGTGCCCCCTCCCCTGCTCGGCCCCTGCTCTCTGTGCCCCCACACCACAGGGCAAGCTGCATGGGGCAAGGCCCCTCTGCCACACCCTCTTCCAAACCTGGCCCCTCCCCAGAGCAGAGATCCCCCCCACCCCTCCCCATACACACACCAGCCCCTTCCCTGGAATTTTTGCCCAGCAGGGTACCAAGACCAGGATCCTGCCAGCATCCCAAATGCCTGGGGTCCATCTGCCCCTGGCGATGTCCCCTCCAGCCCCTCCCAGTGCCCCCCATATGAGCCAGATGCCGGCTCCGCTCCCCACTCTGCTCTGCCAGCACCGGTTCTCCCCTGGGCTCCTCTGCACCACAGGGGCCATGGGGGCCTCTGGGGCAGGGGCAGAGGAAGCGGCTGGGTACGGCATGGCAGGCTGGCTGCAGTTACCCCTGCTGGGAGAGGCCAGGACCGAAGTAGCCAGGAGCTCGCCCCCCCTCCCCGCCCCCAAAGCCAGCACCTCCTGCTAGGAAAGCCCGGGACTGGGATTGCAAACATAGTAACTTGGGTTGCGCCGGGGGGAAAAAGTGCCAGCTGATTTTTGAAACAGGTGTGAAGCCTTGTGGGGGTGCAGAGGGGAGTGGACCTCCCCCCCGCCCGCAAATGTGGGGTGGTCCCAGCTCTTGCTCTCTGGCAGGGGAACCTGAGGCCGAGAGCAAGTTTGAAGCCCCCTTCCGTCCTGTCCAGACTTGCTGCTGAATCCCACAAATGCCGCAGCTTCTCGGCCAGGCGGGAGGAGGGGAAGGGACCCAGAGAGGGGGAATGGGAGAGGGAGGGAAAGAAGGGAAGGAAAAGGAGCACGTGAAGGAGCGATAGAGGGGGCAGGAACGGAGGAGAAAGCTGGTGCCGCTCGACCTTTGGCCATCCCCAGGCTTGGTTTGTCTTTCAGAGGGAAGATGACCGAGAGCTCGCTGTACACGCAGCGCCTGGAGGCCATCGTGGTGAGTGGACCCCTCCCCACCCCCAGGGACCCCAGCTGAGACAGGCCTCGGGCCCCTGGCCGGCATCGCCCCCCCGCCGTCCGTCCTTTGGCTTCCCCTAGTGGAGCCACTTGCCCCGCTCTGGGAGAATCCCAGTGAGTCAGCAGCCCAGGGCACACGAGAGGCCCAAGCTGGTGCCCCCGGGGGCAGTGGCAGAGGTCGTGCAGGGGCAGAGGAATCCAATTCGACAAAGGGCAAATATGCCTCCAAGAGCCAGAGAGTGGAGTGGAGTAGCCAGGAGCTCCTGCCCCGCTCCCCACAGCGCCCCCTGCTGGGGGAGACTGGCACTGGACTAGCCCCGAGCTCCCCCCACAGCCAGCCGTCCAGCCGTCCAGGTCCAGGCAACAGGTGCTGGGCGGAGGGGGACTGAGCCCAGTTTCTGGGCCTGCTGGAGCTGAGAACTGGCCTGTTCGTCACAGCAGTGACCTCCTCTCTCTGCAGGCCCATGGGCTGGGCTGAATCCTGGAGGCAGGAAGCTCTTAGCAGCCAGGGGAGTAACCTGAGCCCTGGCTCCCCTCGTCTTGCCCCCCCGCCCCCACCCCCGCCTGGCATTAACAAATGAATTATTCAGCAGGCAGTGGCTCCAGAAGCAGCTTTTCTCCGGTCCAGGCCTTTCAGGCTGAGAGAGGGACCTGGAGGCCTGCCCAGCCCTGGCGCAGCACCCCGGGACAGGGGGATGGGGGAGAAGGGGGATCGGGACGGGGGCCGGGACGGGGCAGCAGGCATGTGGGGGTAGCGATATGCATGGGGCCACACGACATGGACGTGGGTGTGAGCAGCATTTGTCACAGGCTTGTGCACATGGGGTGAATAGTGTCAGGGACACACGTGTGCACAGAGGTTGTGATGCAGCAGGCGGAGGCATGTGCACACGGAAGTGACCAGCAACAGAGACATGCGTGTGCACGAGGGCAAACAGCAACTGGAACACACATGGGCATAGGGGCATGGAAAGCGGGGGGGGGGGCCACACGCGCACTCAGAGAATGAACAGAGGCAAGGGCGCGTGTGCACGGGTGGCAAACAGGGTCAGGGAAAACGTGCATGTCCATGGGTGACTAGTGTCAGGGACACGTGTGTGCACTCGAAATGCACAGAAGCAAGGACACGCAGGTGCCGGGTGGGGAACAGGGTCAGGGACAACACGTGTGTGCACATGGGGTGCATAGTGTCAGAGACACACGTGTGCATGTGGGGTGACCAGCAGCAGGGACACACGTGTGCATGGTGAATAGTGTCAGGGCCAACACGTGTGTGCAGATGGGTGATTAGTGTCAGGGACACGTGTGCACGGGTGGGGAACCGGGTCAGGGACAACACGTGTGTGCAGATGGGTGAATAGTGTCAGGGACACGTGTGCACGGGTGGGGAACAGGGTCAGGGACAACACGTGTGTGCAGATGGGTGAATAGTGTCAGGGACACGTGTGCACGGGTGGGGAACAGGGTCAGGGACAACACGTGTGTGCAGATGGGTGATTAGCGTCAGGGACACACGTGTGCATGGGTGAATAGTGTCAGGGCCAACACGTGTGTGCAGATGGGTGAATAGTGTCAGGGACACGTGTGCATGGGTGGGGAACAGGGTCAGGGACAACACGTGTGTGCAGATGGGTGAATAGTGTCAGGGACACGTGTGCACAGGTGGGGAACAGGGTCAGGGACAACACGTGTGCGCAGATGGGTGACTAGGGTCAGGGACACGCGTGCACGGGTGGGGAACAGGGTCAGGGACAGCACGTGTGTGCAGATGGGTGATTAGTGTCAGGGACACACGTGTGCATGGGTGAATAGTGTCAGGGACACATGTGTGCGCAGATGGGTGAATAGTGTCAGGGACAACACGTGTGTGCAGATGGGTGAATAGTGTCAGGGACACGTGTGCACGGGTGGGGAACCGGGTCAGGGACAACACGTGTGCGCAGATGGGTGAATAGTGTCAGGGACACGTGTGCACGGGTGGGGAACAGGGTCAGGGACAACCCGTGTGTGCAGGTGGGTGACTAGGGTCAGGGACACGCGTGCACGGGTGGGGAACAGGGTCAGGGACAACACGTGTGTGCAGATGGGTGAATAGTGTCAGGGACACACGTGTGCGCAGATGGGTGAATAGTGTCAGGGACACGTGTGCGCGGGTGGGGAACCGGGTCAGGGACAACACGTGTGCGCAGGTGGGTGATTAGTGTCAGGGACACGTGTGCACGGGTGAATAGTGTAGGGACACAGTGTGGCAGATGGGTGACTAGGGTCAGGGACACGTGTGCACGGGTGGGGAACAGGGTCAGGGACAACACGTGTGCGCAGGTGGGTGATTAGTGTCAGGGCACGTTCCGGGTGAATAGTGTCAGGGACACACGTGTGTGCAGATGGGTGACTAGGGTCAGGGACACGTGTGCACGGGTGGGGAACAGGGTCAGGGACAACACGTGTGCGCAGGTGGGTGACTATGGTCAGGGACACACGTGTGCACGGGTGGGGAACAGGGTCAGGGACAACCCGTGTGTGCAGATGGGTGATTAGTGTCAGGGACACATGTGTGCATGGGTGAATAGTGTCAGGGACAACACGTGTGCGCAGATGGGTGAATAGTGTCAGGGACACGTGTGCACGGGTGGGGAACAGGATCAGGGCCAACACGTGTGTAGATGGGTGAATAGTGTCAGGGACACACGTGTGCACGGGTGGGGAACAGGGTCAGGGACAACCCGTGTGTGCAGATGGGTGATTAGTGTCAGGGACACATGTGCACGGGTGGGGAACAGGGTCAGGGACAGCACGTGTGTGCAGATGGGTGAATAGTGTCAGGGACACGTGTGCACGGGTGGGGAACAGGGTCAGGGACAACACGTGTGCGCAGATGGGTGAATAGGGTCAGGGACACGTGTGCACGGGTGGGGAACAGGGTCAGGGACAGCACGTGTGTGCAGATGGGTGATTAGTGTCAGGGACTCACGTGTGCATGGGTGAATAGTGTAGGGACAGTGTGTGCAGATGGGGAATCAGGGACACGTGTGCGCAGTGGGTCAGGGACACGTGTGGAGGTGGGTGACTAGGGTCAGGGTCACGTGTGCACGGGTGGGGAACCGGGTCAGGGACAACACGTGTGCGCAGATGGGTGAATAGTGTCAGGGACACGTGTGCACGGGTGGGGAACAGGGTCAGGGACAGCACGTGTGTGCAGATGGGTGACTAGGGTCAGGGACACACGTGTGCACGGGTGGGGAACAGGGTCAGGGACAGCACGTGTGCACGGGTGGGGAACCGGGTCAGGGACAACACGTGTGCGCAGATGGGTGACTAGGGTCAGGGACACGCGTGCACGGGTGGGGAACCGGGTCAGGGACAACACCTGTGTGCACACGGGCTGAACAGTGTCAGGGACACGCGGGTGCCCCGGGCCGGGTCTATCCCGTGCCAGCTCCGCAGGGTCCCCACTGGCCGCGGGAGGGTTAAAGCCCCGGCCGCGCACGTGGGCTCCCCCGCCCAGGGCCCTTTGTCCGCGGCTCGCCGCGCCTGGCCCCGCAGGGCGGCGGCTCCAGCCTCGCTCTTGTCGCTCCGCGGCTGCAGGGGCGGCGCAAGGTGCAGGAGCGGATCCTCCGGACGCGCCGGGAGCTGGAGGAGGAGAAACTCCGAGCCCAGCAGCTCAAGGTAGGAGGATCGGGACTGGGGACAGCGGGGGGACTTGGGGGGAGCTGGAGGATGTGGGGGGGGTGTTGGTAGGGGAGCTGGGGGGGTCTCGTGAGGGTGGGCTTTGTGGAGGGGGTTAAGGGACGTGGGGGGGGGGGGGGTTAGGGGAGCTGGGGGGTGCGGTCTGCTGGGGGTTGGCCCAGCAGAGGGGGTGCCAAGGTCCCTGTGGCTTGCCAGCGTGGGGTGCTGGCTGCTGGGGGATTTGGGAGGTGGTAGGTTCCAGCCAGGCTTCCCTGCCCAGGGACACAGCAGCCCCCTGACCCACACCAGCATCCCCCCAGGGTGGCGGCTACCCGAGCCCCATTCCAGCTGTCCCACGGCAAACCCCTTAGCCTTGATGTGGGCTGCGGGGAGCTGCTGTTCCCCCTCGCAGGGCTGGGGGGAGGGGCCATGTGCATTTTGCTCAAGGCAGGGAATCCGCTCCCGCCACCCCACTTTTCCCGCCTGGGGGTCCCCCCGCTCAGGGGGGTTCCGTCAGAGGCCACCTGCTGCCCGGCTCCTCGGGCAGGTGGAGGTGCTGAAGTGCGTGAGTGTGGGGGCGCGGGCGGGGGTGTGTTCCCGTGTGTGGGGCTGGGGCTGTCTGCGTGTGTGAACGCGCGTTTCTGTGTCCCTGCACATTCTGTGTCCGTGCACATTTACACATCCATGGTCTAGCATGGTGCACGAAGCCTGCGTAGCAGCGGGGCCAGTCGGTGCATGCGTGTCCGTATGTCCCCGGAGACAGGTCTGTGTACTTGGACACACGTGTGCATGGAGCAGGAGCAATGGCAAGGACACGTGTGCTGGGGGGTGAGGAGCTGTGGTAGAACACGTGGGCGTGTCCACGGCCATGTGGGTGCGTGACCGCACGGGTGCGTGGCTGGCTGTCACTGTGCACACATGGCCTCGACCCAGGGCGTGGCGGGAGGGGCAGGCTGATAGAGGACGCTCTGCTCTCTTCCCCCAGAGGAAGTCCCTGCGAGACCGGTGGCTGATGGAGGGGTCGTGCCTGCCCCCCGAGAACGACCCCACCTCCCCGCTCTGGCAGGCACAGTCCCGCATCCAGGAGCTAGAGCAGGATCTGTCCAGGTAAGGGGAGGGCGGCGGGTACGTCACAGGGGAGATCTGCAGCTGTAGCCCTCAGGCCTCTTCCCCGGGAGGGATCACAAAGCATTTTACATGCTTCACCCAGCACTGAAATGCAGCCACCTCTGGGGCGGGGCTTGGCAGCTCTTTACAGCCACACAGCAATGCAGCACTGAGGATTACTCATTCAGCCTTGAGCTGCAGCCACCTCTCAGGGTAGGGCAGGGCAGGGCCGCTGATTAACTCCCACCCAGCAAGCTGCCTGGGGATTGCTCGCTCGATGCTGAAACGCAGCCATCTCTGGGGTGAGGCGTGCAGCTGTTTAACAGCCACACAGCAGTTCGGGACAGGAAGGAAGATGTGTTGGGGATTTTAGGGAAGCAAGGTGGAAGCAGCCAGATTTGGAATTGGGGATTGGCCCCCAAACTTTTGGTGGGGGACATGAGCCCTCCGTACTTCACCCACTACCCTGTACCCAAGAGCTCCCCTCTCCTGTCTGGACCGGAAGACGCGTGCACGTAAAACGCAGCCAAGGAATCGGACATTTCCAAAGCAGACAAACGGTCTAAAACACAGAAGCTGTCACAAAGGCAAAGTGCGGAGGGAACCAAAAGGACACAGGGCAGGGAGGTGACTGAATGCCGAGTGAGCAGTGCTCCACAGGATTAAATCACCGCTCAGAACAAGGGACAAGACAAGCCACAGCCGAGCAAGTCACACGCATTGAACTTTTTACCCCTGCCCACGGGGGACCCCCTCCCCCGGGTCCGTCCGTCTAAAGGGGCCTTTGAGATCTCTCTGCCCAATCAGAGCTGCTTTCACCCAGCAATCTCACAGTGCTTTGCCAAGGCAGGGGGAAACTGAGGCACAGAGTGACTTGCCCAGGGCCACAGAGTGAGGCAGGAGCAGAGCTGGGAATGGAACCCAGGAATCCTGGCTCCCAGTCCCTCCGCTCTAGCCTCTAGGTTTACAGTTGCTCAGACCAGGGCATCCGTCCCCCAGCTCCCCCTTATCCATCGTGTGAACATAAGCTGCTTGTCTTCTCTTTCACGGCCTCTCCCCACCAGACCAATCGTCTCTCATTCACTATTGAGCTGCCAACTCCCATCTCCGACCAGCCCCTGATCCCAGCCTCTAGCACCGGCCTGGACCCTTTGCAAACCAGCCCCGCGGTGCTTTCTCCCTGCTTGGGAGCAGCTTCCCATAAACCCCCACCAAGCGCCTCATTAGCCACCTGCAAATCCCTCCCCTTTGCCAGGAGGCCTGCAACCAACCCGAGAAAGGCCAGGCTGCTGGTGAGCTGACAGCACGGCCTGCCATGCTGTTTCCTTGGCCTGCCGGTAACCAGCTGGTGTCTCTTGTCCCAGACTGAGATCGGAAGCTCTGAGGGCAGGGACTGTCTTTTTGTCCTGTTTCTACAGGCCCCTAGCACAGTGTCGGTCGTGGTCTGTGACTGGGGCACCTATGCGTTACCGTAATACACCTAATCACAACCAGAGATTTAGCTGACTCTCAAAACCAGAGACAGGGCACCCAGGAGTCCTGACTCCCAGTCCCCCTTGCTCCAACCCCTGGACCATACTGCCCGTGCACGTGAACACATAACGAACAAGAAGGCTATTGGCAACGTGATATAATTTCAAAATGCCCATTTATACGGAACCCACCACTTCAACCAGCCAGGTTAGAAAAGCCAATGAAACTGGCGTGCACATGGGAAAAACTGGCAGGGGTTAGTGCGTGTGAACGTACATGCTAGGGAGGAAGACACCCCTTCAGTCTGGCACGTGGAATCGGAACTATTCACCTATGTGTTTAGCCCCTATACCGCTCCCATATAAAGGAGATTTCCCTTTAGACCTGTATTATTATGTGTAGATAGATCAGGGTTCCCTTGCATCAGGTGCTGCCCAGACATAGCGAGGGAGAGTCCCTGCCCCAGAGAGCTCACAGGCTAAATACATAAAGGATGGGAGGGGAAACTGAGGCACAATGAAGGGAAACATCTTGCCAGGGATAGAACCCAGGTGTCCTGACTTGCAGGGGCCTGTGCTTTAGTTTTTGCTCCTGGGACATTGTAAGAGGCCAGTGGGGTTGTACCCCCAACAGGCAGCGGCCAGGGCAAAATTCTACATGGCCGAATTTTGAGCTCGGCTTCTCTGCTTTCCTGCCTGGGAGCCTGGTTGTGGCCGGGGAGCAGGGTCAGCCCCAGTCCCTGTGGAAAGGGACCCAGCCTGGGAGCTTTTCTCTCCCCCTCTCTGCAGCCTCCAGTCCCAGATGCAGCAGCTGAATAACCCAGAGCATCACGGCAGGCCGCAGGAGGCCTTGGAAGATGCTAAGCAGCCAGCAGGGAGCACCTGTGAGGTAATGCAGTGAGTGGGGCAGGTGGCACCTGCGGGCGCAGGAGGTGGGGGGAGCGCATGCTGCAACAGCCCAGGAAGAGGGGGAGCTGTGGGGCAAGGGGGGGGCGCACGCCGTTCCCAAGCTGGGGGGAGCCTCCCTCTGCGTGCTCCCAACAATTAGCTCCTGGGTGGGCACATGGGGCAGGTAAGAGGGCAGCGGGGGATGGGACGGGTTCAGTCCCCCTGAAGATATGGGGGGGGGGGTTTAGCCCATTACGAGGGCCTGCCCGTGGGACACCAGCCTGGATGGGCCCCATTGCTTCATCCCTCTGTGGCTATGCAGATTGCACAGCCCGGCTGTGAACTCCCAGCCCCCACCCAGCCCATTCCTGCTACCCATCCCTCGGGGGCGGGGGGGGGGGTGTCAGATCCTTCTAATTACCCCCAGACAGGCCACTGGCCAGCTAAGCTGGGGGGGGGCTTTCAGCCTCCCCAGTCTGCCCCCGCAGCGCGGCTCGTGTTCTCTCCCTTCCCCTGCCTGGGCTGTCTTGTCTCTACAGTTTATGGCCTAAATTCCTCCCCCCAAGTTCTGTGTCTGAGCCTCTGGCCTCTTTTCAGGACTCCTGGGTTCTCCTTATGTTTCCTTTGGGCGTCGATCGCTTCCTTCTTGGGCTGCAGAAGCAACCCCAGATGAAGCAAAACTGACCCCTGGAAAACAGGAGGCAGGAGCCATTCTGGGCCACCCATGCCCCCCAGTTCCCTCCCCAAGCTGTCACCCCCACCCCCTAAGGCTCCCGTCTCTCTCTTTCAGGCCCGTGGGGCTGGTTCTGCTTCGGCAGGTGAGTTGTTCCCTGTTGGCGGGGAAAGCGGCCGGGTCTGGTTTCCCCAGAAGGTCGTGGTCAGGCTCCTTCCTGAGGCTCGGGGGGGCTCGGCAGGGCCAAGGCACAAGGGGGTCGAGGCTCAGGGAATGGGGGCGGTTTGGTGGCAGCCACAAGGCTGAGCCCACGTTGGGATGGTGCCGCAGCGTGCAGGGAGGGAGCGGGACCCTGCAACGCAGGCTTGGGGGCCTGGGGAAAGCCTGCATGCCTGGAAGCCGACCTCGTGGGCAAGAGAGGGGACCAGCCCCTGCTCTGGGGGCTTGTCCCAGGGCTGCCCATGGAGCATCGAGGCTGGTGACGGGGGAGAGGGCATTCCAGTGTAATATTGATAGGGCTGGGACTGAATGTGTCCTGGGGGCTCTGCTCCCCATAGGGGGTCCCTCTGGGGCAGGGCAGAGAAGGGAGGGTGCAGGAGAGCCTGTCTCGGTGATCAACCCAGCCTCCTTTGCCTTCCAACCAACCCCAGGTGGGGGGGGATGTGGCTGTGAGACCGAACCTGCCCTCCGCCTGGCTCCAGTCCCCCCCAAGAGGGCCATGCGAGCGGCAGCCCGGGAGAGCCTGGAGAATGGGGACGTGTCGGGAGCAGGTGAGCGTTCGGATGGGGCGGTGCATGGGGCGGTGCTCCATCGTTCCCAGATCCCCGGCCCGGGAGCTAGGCCAGCACTAGAGGGCAGCCGGGGGCCAAATCTCACCCTGGGGATTCCTGCATGGGAAGGGTTAGCGCAGGGGGGCTGGGAGCCAGGGCTCCTGGGTTCTGTCCACAGCTCTGGGAAGGCAGTAGTGTCTAGTGGTTAGAGCAGGGAGACTGGGAGCCAGGACCTCTGGGCTCTGTGTGGGAAGTCTTGTCTAGTGGTTAGAGCAGGGGGCTGGGAGCCGGGACTCCTGGGTTCTGATCTCAGCTGGGGGATGGAAGGTTTGCGCAATGGGGAGATGAGGGTATGGGGAACCAGAACCCTTGGGTTCCTTTCCTGACTGCCACAACTTCCCCAGGTGGCCTTGGACTAGTGTACCATTCCCTGTGGGGCCCCAAGGACACCACGGCTGCCTCTCTTGCCTCTATGCTACCTCTCCTGGGGCCCAGGGTGTTATAAAAAAAAACCCCTTACCAGAGACAGTTTATCACCCCCAGATCTAGAGCATGGAGCCCTTAAAATCCCACAACATCTGTTCCATCAGTGTAGCACACACCACGCTCTGGCGGCTTTCACCGCTCCTTGGTTCGCCTTCAGTCCTCTCCTGGCCTTCTGCCAGGCCTGGCACACCAGCCCCACTCTTCCCAGGGGACCCCTTTCCCCCCACTGGGAGTGCCTGCTCAGCTGGGGAGCCTCCGTCACTCCCTCTCAGAGACCCACCCCCTGGCCCTCGGCTCCAGCTCAGTAGGCAACTCCTGCCTTCAGCCTTCCCCAGCCTGGCCAACTCCTCTGCTACCTTCAGCCTCTCCCCAGGGCCCTTTACATCCTCCTGCCAGGATCTCTTCCCTCTCTGATTCTCCTGGATCCCTTATAGCCCCAGTTGCTGCTCCCGCCGTCTTGATTGGCCCAGTTGGGCACACTGCATCCTATGTCACAGGGTGGCTGAGCCCTCCAGCTCCCCTCTGCTGACAAGTCACCTCCCCGTCTGTGCCTCGGTTTCCCCACCAGTCAAATGGGACTGATCTCCCACAGTACCCACCATGGGGTGTCTTGGTCCAGAGAGGTCTGTGAAGTGCTTTGTAATGGGGGGAGGAGAAGGGGCAAAGCCCACAGACCCCTGAAGTAATGACCACCTCTAGCAGGGGGCCTCCCATTTGGGGACCAGTCTGAAGGATCCCCCAGGTGATGCTGTTGCCTAGAGACCAGTATCTCCTCAGCCGCCTTGGGACAGATCCCCCTCCCCCGGGCCATGGGGAGAGATCCAAGGGGCTGACCCACATTCTCTTTTGCCTTCAAGGTCCCTTTGACGTGGAGGGGATCGGCCCTGGGGAAGGCAAGACTGAAGCCAGCTCTGCTTCTCTGGGAACTCAGGATGACGGGGCAGGAGCCTCTGCCAAGCAGCCGGAGAAGCTGGGCGTGGGGAAGGTGGAGATGATCATTAGAAACCACCTGGGCCAGGAAGTGGGCAGCATGGACGCCATCGGGCGGACGTCCCCGGAGACGGAGGGGGAAGCTCCCCGGGGAGAGAATGGGTTGGAGGAGGCTTGGGACGGAAGGACGGAGCAGGAGCCGCAGAGCCCGCCCGCCCTTGCGAGCGACGCCCGGGACGGCGGGATGGAGGAGAGCTTGGCAAGGCAAGGGAGCAGAGAGGGGCCGGAGGGGGAATCCGGGGTGCAGGAGGGGGAGACGCAGGTCCTGAAGGATGAGAACTGCTGCCTCGATTCCCCAAGGCCCGAGCCGGACGGGGAGCTGGAGGAGCCGATAGGGGTCGTGGAAGAGGGGGAGATCTCGGCCGAGCCTGCCAGAGGAGCCACGGGAATGGAGGAGGCAGAGGCTGTCCAGAGGGCTCAGGGCAGGGCAGCAGAACCAGAGAGGCCAGAGGAGCTGGGACCCACCCAGGGGACAGGCTCTATGTGGCAGGAGCCTGCTAGGGAACAGGAGCGTCAGGTGTCCCCTGGGGCAGAGCATCCCCAGGCTGCAGGGGTGGGAGAAGGAACAGAGACGAAGGCCTCTTTGCAGGACCAGATCCCAGCTCTGCAGGACCAGATCCCTTCCTCTCTTCAGGAGGCTAAAACCTCTCTGCAAGACCAGATCCCAGCTCTTCAGGGACAGACCCCCTCCCACCAAGAAGCTAAAGCAGCTCTCCAGGACCAGATCCCATCAGCTGTCCAGGACCAGACCCCTTCCTCTCTGCAGGAGGCTGAAGTATCTATGCAAAACCAGATCCCAACTGTGCAGGGCCAGTTCCCATTGTCTCTGCTGGAAGTTAAAACATCCCTTCAGGGCCAGATCCCCTCACCACAAGAGGCTAAGGCAGCTCTCCAGGACCAGATCCCTTCCTCTCTGCAGGAAGCGAATGCATCTCTCCAGGACCAGATCCCATCAGCTCTCCAAAGCCAGATCCCATCACCCCAAGAAGCTAAAGCCGCTCTGCAGGACCAGATCCCTTCCTCTCTGCAGGACCAGATCCAATTTATGCAGGACCAGATCCTTTCCTCTCTGCAGGAGGCTGAAGTATCTATGCAAAACCAGATCCCAACTGTGCAGGGCCAGTTCCCATTGTCTCTGCTGGAAGTTAAAACATCCCTTCAGGGCCAGATCCCCTCACCACAAGAGGCTAAGGCAGCTCTCCAGGACCAGATCCCTTCCTCTCTGCAAGAAGCGAATGCATCTCTCCAGGACCAGATCCCTTCCTCTCTGCAGGAAGCGAATGCATCTCTCCAGGACCAGATCCCTTCCTCTCTGCAGGAAGCGAATGCATCTCTCCAGGACCAGATCCCTTCCTCTCCGCAGGAAGCGAATGCATCTCTCCAGGACCAGATCCCTTCCTCTCCGCAGGAAGCGAATGCATCTCTCCAGGACCAGATCCCTTCCTCTCCGCAGGAAGCGAATGCATCTCTCCAGGACCAGATCCCTTCCTCTCCGCAGGAAGCGAATGCATCTCTCCAGGACCAGATCCCTTCCTCTCACGCATCTCTCCAGGACCAGATCCCTTCCTCTCTGCAGGACGCGAATGCATCTCTCCAGGACCAGATCCCTTCCTCTCTGCAGGACGCTAACGCATCTCTCCAGGACCAGATCCCTTCCTCTCTGCAGGACGCTAACACATCTTTCCAGGACCAGATCCCTTCACCCCAAGAAGCTAAAGCAGCTTTCCAGAACCAGATCCCTTCACCCCAGGAGGCTAAACATTCATTCCACAGCCAGATCCCCTCCAGCCAAGAGCCAATCCCTGCACTTCACGGGGAGGTACCGCTTACCCCAGGGGAGTTGCCACCTGGCAGAGCACCCGCCCTGGAGCAGGTGCCTGCCCGACCCGGGGAAAGCGTGGCCCTGAAAGGAGGCAACGATGCTGGCCCGGTTTCATCGACTGCAGAAGAAACCACTGAAAACCTGGGGAAGCTCCACCCGGAGCAGCAGCCTCTGCTCAAGGAAGCCTCCAGGCTCTGGACAGGCCGGAAGGCGCCACTAGATCCCATGGCCAGAAGCCCGCAGCTGGGAGCTGGCACCTTGAAGTCGCTGGCAGCCGTGAGCCCAGAGGCCCCGACGTACACGACCGCCTCAGCCAACCCCGGCTCTCTGTGCGAGGGCAGGAGCGCCGCCCCCCCCCAGCTGGCAGAGGGGCAGGAGGCGGGCAGACGCAAGCAGAAGACCTGCCAGTGTTGCTCTGTCATGTGATCCCGGCCCCGCCAGCCGCTGGCCGCCCTCAGCGCTGGGATGGGCATCGAGAGCCCCCGCCGGAGATGGGCTGATCAGAGGGACCTTGCTCCAGTGACTGGGGGCCCAGGCAGCCGTGGCTCAGCCCCTGGGTGTTTTAATTCCTCCGGGGGGGGGCTGTTCATTTGTACTGCCTGATGTTTTCCTATGGAGGGGTGCCCGGGGTAGGCAGTCAGTTTGGGGGGCGCCTGTCTCCTGCTGGCAGGACATGGCTGCAGCGCTAATTTCACGTCTGGTGGCTTCTGTTCCAAGCCCCTGCATGGAGGGGTCCTTTCCCTTCTGTCCCTGCCACGTCTGCCCCCTTCCGGAGCTCTAAGGGTATTGGGCAAAGCGGGGAGGGAAGGGGGTCTCCTGTTCCTGGGAGTTCAGGGCCCCAGCTCACACTTCTGCACACGCCTGTATACACGCTCGCCCCCCCCCCGCATGAATGCACACGCATGTACACACGCTCCCCTGCCCGAATACAAACCTCTGCGGACAAACACGTGGACACGCACCCAGTCTCACGCACACGCCCGAATATACAGACAAGCCCCCAGGTACAAATACAGCTGTAGACTGACCCCTCCCCGCCCGCATCACTGCCCAGACAGGTGCGCTCACGCTCACACCCACAGGCCCGACACAATCGCAGGTGCACAGTCGCAGGGGCCTCGCCAGACACCTGCACGCACCCAGACTTACACGTGCGTTCACATGCTTACTGCCCCTGTGGGATGGCTCAGCCGGCGTGGCCCCAGCGACAGGCTTCCTGCCTCACCTCCAGCTGGGCTGGGCATTGCCCAGCTGCCTGCTCCCAAACATGTCTTGCCCGAGAGACCTTTCCTAGAGCCCTCGCTGCGCCAGGAGGGGGCGCCCCCCGCAGGTCAGTGAGGGAGGCATCGGAAACCACCTCCTCCCACGGTCCTCAGCTCAGCATTCCAGCCCCTGCATCCTGCCCCTGGCGGGACCGAAACCCCTTTCCCAGCTCTGGCTCGGGCAGCCCTGGAGCTCAGTAACGGGACAGGCTGCAGCTGTAGCCCCGACCCCTTCCGGCGCATCCCTAGGCAGCCTGGCCCCGAGCCTCGGAGCTATGTCGGTGTCTCTGAGGGTCTGGGCCTCAGATGCCACGGTGATGGGCATCCGTAGAACAGCCCCCAAAGCTGGTTTTGTCTCTGGGCCTTTCCCCCGCCTTAAACCGCCCTTGTTTGGAGTGAGTGTGAGCCAGTCACGCAGGGTAGCCTTGAACCGTCCAGCAGGGGTCACTACGGAGCGATGCTCAATTAAAGTCACTTTCAATGGGAAGCCCGCTCCTTGTGACTGTGTGAGGGAGGGTCAGCGAGTGGTTTTCCAGGTGTCGGCCTGCTGGGTTCTGTGCCCACCTCTGCCATTTTGCCATTGGGTGACCTGGGGCAAGTCCCGTCCCCTCCCTGGCCTCAGTTTCCCCTCCCACCCTCTTTGTCTCGGTGAGCGTTGCCGGGCAGGGACGGTCTCTCGCTGTGTGTCTGTGTGGGGCCCAGAACAGCGAGATCCCTGATCTCAGTCGGGGTCTGGGCAGCGCCCAGCCGGAGGGGGACTCTGATCTCGCTCGCGGTCTCTGCCCTGAGCTGATAGGCACCAAGCTTGGGGATTGTCCCCATTTCAGAGAGGGGAATGCGGAGCTAGGGAATCCCTGCTCCAACCTTTAAGGTCCCCTCCCTCCCAGTGCTGAGAATAGGACTCCTGGGTTCTGGTCCCAGCTCTGGGAGGGCAGTGAGGGCTGGTGAGTTGGAGCAGGGGGCTGGGAGGCTGGACTTCTGGGTTCTAGCCCCAGCTGTGGGAGGAGAATGTGGTGCAGTGATTAGAGCAGGCCTGGACTGGGAGTCAGCGACTCCAGATTTACACCGCAGAGCATCCTGGGACCTGGGTGCTGTTACTCCAGCTTTGCAGCACTGGTCCCCCCTCTGGGCTTGTCTCCTCAAGTGGGGCTGCCCAGATTTCAGCCCTCAGAGCAGCCCCCAACTGCGTATGGGGGCAGCAGCTCCGAGCCACCATTTACCCCCAGTGCTGCAGTCCAGGCTGAGACAGCGGGAGACCAGAATCACGCCCCTGGCACCTCTGTCTCTGCCTGCACAGACTGTCCCATCACACGGGGCCCTGCTGCTGCCCTGACCCTAATGAAACCTTCCCCCAGGGCCAAATCTCCCCCACGCTGAGCTGCCAGCTCTGAGTACAGGTCACAGCGGGGGCTGCTGGGCAGACATCACCGTGTGGTGCTCAGCGTCTCGTCTGAGCCTGGATTGTCCCTTTTAAAAGCTGACAGAGCCACTGGAGTGGATGAGGCCGGATCCCCAGCTGGTGTAGATCAAGGTAGCGTCATTGTGTGGGTGGGGCTGTTTGACACGGGCTGAGGCTCTGGCCCTTGCTGCTCAATGAAATCAGTGGGAGTTCAGCCCTTGGAGCTTCCCAGGGGCTGAGGAGGTGGGTTGTGACTGGCTCCAGATTTCCCCGCAGTTGTGAATTCAGCACATCCCAGTGAGGCTGAGGGGGTTAAAGTCAAGTGAATTGAGATCTGATGTGTGTGTGTGGGTCTTTCTCATCTGGGGGGTAGGAATATCGCCCTCTTCTCTCTGCTCAATAGACTGGGCATGAAATTCAACCCCCCTCACCTTGGTTTGATGTCTGCCAAGCGTTGGCCTCATGCTTAAGGTCCTTAGTAGGGACTCAGGACACCTGGGTTCAATTCCTGACTCTATTGCCTCACCATGTGACCTTGGACAAGTGACTTCATCGCTGTGTGCCTCAGTTTCCCTTGTTTAGACTGTGTGCTCTAAGGGGTAGGGCTTGTTTCATTGTGTCTGGGCAGCACCCAGCCGAACGGGGCCCTGTAAATGCACATAATTGCAGCTGGAAAGCACGGAGGATTGTTATCAATCAGCCTGGAATTCAGCTTCTCGCGCTGCTACGGCCAAGCTGCCGGCGCTGAAGGGGAATGGCTGGGAGCGATGCAGGGCCTATGACACACGGCTAAGCCGAGCCAGCGGAGGGCAGTGGTGTTACCTGTGTTAGCCAGCTTGTTACAGTATTAAGTCTTTGAGCCAGAGGGGTTCACCTCATTGGTCCCACATTGGAGGGGGCCGGGGGGGGGGTTCCTCTCAAGGCCCATAGCCCTGCATAGTCCAAGCAATTGCTCAGTTCAGGTCCCAACCCCTCCCTTCATCTGTCAGGTTCGCACCCAGGGCGTTGAATCCCGAGGGCTGAGCTGCACGCGATGGGCCTTTCCTACCCCTGCCAAGACTGAGCGCAACTCCCTCCCCCCCAGCGTGGGGGGCTGCAGGGCCAATTCCCGCCCCCCCCCACACGCCCTAGTCTGTGCTGCCCGCTCCATCGAACCGACCAAGTCAGGCGCAGGGCTGGAGCAGGGCACAGAGCTGACGTGTCTGGCATGCACAGGAGCAGCCAGAGGCTACATGCTGCTCACAGAGACCTGCTCACAGGTGCTCTGAGGGCACGGCGGGCATTGCTAGGGGGAGGCTGGGCGCAGTGCGGTGCAGAGGCAGCTCTGGGCCGAGGCCCCTGGGCTGCGGAAGCAGAGCCCTGCCCCGCCCCTGTGCGCTGCACTGGAAGGCTGCAGCATTTCACTTTACTCTGCACCTCGCCCAAGAGGAAGGATGTTCTTGTGGTCGTGGCGTAGCAGCCAGAAGGGCTGGAGCCCAGCTCCTCGCTCTGCCACTGTCTGAGTCTGGGCAAGCTGCAGCCGTGCTCACAGGGCCTTGGGCAGCGGGCCTGGGTTCCAGGAGCAAGCATGGGGAATTGGGCGGCAGGACTCCTGGGTCCTACACCCAAGTCCACGACTGCCGTGCTGTGTGACCGTAGCCCAGTCGCTCTGTGCCTCAGTTTCCCCATCTGTAAAATGGGACTCAGGCTCCCTTCCTCCCAGGCCGTTGACGTGAGGCACAATTCCTTAGCCTCCGTAAGGCGCTGTAATAAGGCAGCCCCACCTGTGGCATGACGAATTTCCCTCAGTCCACTATAAAGCAAACCCAGTCTCTCTTGCTGGCCCATTCAATGGTCAGGAGCACCCAGCTGGTAACCAGGCTGCCCAGTGTCACAGTGACCCATCATTTCCCAGTCCGCCCTACAGTGACTTACCCCTGAGCACTCGGGTTCCAGGCTGTCGCTTGCCCCACCGGCTGAGTCTTCTACTCACAATGCAGCCCACCGACAGCCTCCCGGCACTGGCTCTCCAGGCCGGCTGCCAGCCACCCCTACTCCTGCGGTGAGCTTGCCGCTTTCTGCAGCTTCCCTGGCAGCCTCTGACCACCAGGCGGGAGGCAGCGGGTCACAGGGGCTCCTGACCCTGCCCTGCCATGAAGGGCCCAGTCACCATGTGACAGCCCCTTTGAGGTCCTGACAGGAAAGTCGCTGCTTTGTTTGTGGCAATGAGAGACAGGGAGCGAAGGTTAAAAAAACGTGTACAAGTAAAAAAAAATGCCATACAACTGCATGGTGTGCAGCTCCGAGCTCGAGCGGGGCTCGAGAGTGGGGAGAAAGCTGGCCTGTGGAGGAGGGAACCTGCGGGGGGCCTGATACCAGGGTGACGGGCTGCTGACAATTAGAGGGGCAGAGTCTGGGTCTGTCACAGGCTCTGGGAGGAGGGGGCTGGGAGCAGGGGCTGGCTCCAGGCACCAGCTCTCGAAGCTGGTGCTCGGGGCGGCAATTAGAATGGGGCGGCAGTCCGTGTCCCACGGCGACTGCTTGGGGGGCCAGGGGGGAACTTGCTAGAGCCGCCCCTGGCTGGGAGTCAGGACTCCTGAGTTCTATCCGCAGCTCCAGGAGAGGAGTAGCGTGCGTAGTGGTTAGAGCAGAGGGGGCTGGGAGTCCGGAGAGGAACTCTGTCTCCATGGGCCATTCGGTCTTTGGCGTGTCTGCTAAGGCAGCCTGTCGGGAAGGTTGTCTAGGAGGGACGCAGTATACCAGCAAACTCAGTCCACCAGGCAGGGGCAATTCGGTCGCTGCAGAATTAAGGCTGGATCAGAGCCTGCACCACTAACAGGGGAAAATCTCTGTGTCCCATTCCCTGCCCCAAAGAGCGCCCCAACCTGAGCTTGCAGCCAGCGCCCCCTACAGGGAAAGAGCCCATGTCCCAGTCTTTGGCCCCTCGAGCCAGGCACTCCTGGCTGGGGCCCCCCAGTGCCTAGGGCAGTGCTGTGTGGCGCTGGTGGTTTCGCCCAGCCGCATCCCTCAGGCCAGTCCCAGCACCTCCTCCGGGGTGGGCATGAAATGTTTCTCGTAGCCAGAAATGACCGGGGCTTTGTCTCCCCACGTCTCCTCCAGGGTGGGGCTGCTTGGCACCAGCTCCTCTGTCCTGGGCTTGCTCCCGGTCCAGTCGTCAGCCCCCCCGCTGTGGGGCAGGGCAGGCAGAGGAGACTCCAGCTGGGGCAGAGTTGAGTAGCCCTGGTTCACGTTCTCCGCTGGTTCCCCGATATCAAGCTCGGTGATGGGGGTCTCCTCCGCGTCCAGGTTCCGCACCAAAGGCCCCCTGTAGCTGTGGGGATCCTGGAGGAAACAGATCATGAGAGCAGCCATCTCACTCCCTAGCGACAAGGAGCTCCCTGCCAGAGCTGGGCATGGAACCCAGGAGTCCTGATTCCCTGACCCCCCCGCTCTAACCACTAGACCCCACTCCCCTCCCATAGCTGTGGATAGAACCCAGGAGTCCTGACTCCCAGCCTGGCCCCCTCACTCTAACCACTAGACCCCACTCCCAAACCCCTGATTGTCCAGGCCTGGCTCATCTGATCTGCCTCCCTTGGCCCTACTGCAGAGGACAAGGGTGGGTCACGCATCCTAGCCTGGGCCCCCCATCTCACCCTGTTCACCTCATGCAGCATAATCCTGCTGTGGGTGGCATCTGGGATCTTCTCCCAGCACCAGCTGGGCAGCACCTTGTGGCACAGGTCCAGCAGCCTGTGGGTGAGAGAGAGGAAGGGTTTTTTTAACACCTGGGGTGAGGGGTAGGGAGACTGCCTGGCTGTGGAGGGCCAGCCCCCTTGAGGTGTTATGCAAATCATGGCACGCCTTGAGCTGCAGACTTGATAAATATGCAACACCTCATTTGCATAAATGAGATCCACATTGTGCATCATTTGCATAAATTAGATCAATGCGTTACCTTGTTTGCATAAATTAGACCCACCAGAGATGCCTTCCCCCATCGCTCTCTCAGGCACCCCATTTAAGTTTATTCCCTCCGCTGTCTCACCCTCTAACTAGCTCCCTCATCTCCCCTCCCCACCAGACTGGGAGCCTCTAGGGCACTAGTTTGGAGCCAGTGTCGCCCAATGGCCGTTGGGTGAAACGAATTTGGTGGCTCTCAGCCCACAGTTCCGTGGCTCTGACTCGTCCGATCCCAGGGACTCAGATACTACAGAACAGAGAGGGTTAAGGAAGACCCCAGCCCCCCTTGGTGCTGGGAGTGTGTCCTTCCACCGCTGGGGGACGGGGGTGGGTTGTGGGTACTCGGGATTGAACCCAGAGCCACTAGATCTAAAAGCTGGAGGGCGTCTATAGCTGAACCGACTCCGCTCGCTGATGCTAGAGCAGGAGTATCCACCTCTCTGGGTGCAGGGCTGAGCCAATCCTGGGGTGTTCGGCTCTCTGGCAATTCCAAAAAACCCCCCGAAAACCAGACCTGAGGTTTTTTCAACAGTGTCAGCGAATGGCAAAGGCCAGACCCCACCACTGTGGGTGGGAAAGCCTCATTCGGGGCGAATCGACACCTTGCGCTCGCCTTTCACGCGTCCTGGGAACGTTTCTCTGTTTGCGAAAACCGACGCGGCAGGACGTTTCCAAACCCAAAGTTGCTTGGAGCCGGGACAATATGGAACTATTTCGACATGGAATTTGGGGGGGGGTTGCTTTTCCAATGCGCAACTTGGCAACCAGACCCGGATTTGCCCAACTTGCTGGCACTGCTGACTCTCCGTTTTTCACCAAAAATGTTTCCGCTGAAAGATGTTGCCTGGCTCTGTCTGTGTGTCCCAGCCACCACTGAGCACGACACGGCGAGGGCTCCCTACGGCTTAAAAGCCCCGTCCAGGACGACCTAGGACCCTGCGTGGGGGCCCGCTCCCCGCCCCCACCGACTGCCTGGCATTCTTACTGCACATGCAGGACAGCTCCCAGGACACAGGCCAGGAAGAGGAGGAATCCCACCGCCAGGAGGGAAGCCAGGACAGCCTCCCAGCGGGAATCTGCAGGGAGAGGGAGCAGGGTTGGGAGAAAGCCTGAGTGCCTCTGTCCCTGAATCCCAACATGCCCCCCCAGCTGGAGGGGAGAGCCCCACGCGGCCCAGAGAGGGCAGGGCCCACCCAGACCTAACGCGGCACCACTCTGCAACAGGATCTATGCCACGCACACCCGCGCCCTCCCCCGGCCACGTTACAGGGGCATAGAGTGAGAGGAAGGCCCAGCAGGGCAGGACAAGGCTTCTGTAACCCCCTGGATCCCTTCCTCTGACAATCCCAAAGCGTTAAGCAAATAGCTAGGTATGGAGGGGGGTGGTTGCACTGAAAGGCAGCCACCTCTGGGGTGGAACACAGCACCAGTGCATGGGGATTGCTCTGCCAGCACTGAGATGCAGCCATCTCTGGGGTGGGGCATGGCAGCTGTTTACACAGGGATCCCTCGCCCGGTGCTGAGATGCACCAGCCTCTGGGGTGAGGCGTGGCAGGTGAGGAACAGCTACACAGCTTGCTGTACATGGGAGGTGAAGGAGAATCCCGCATCTGGTTGCAACTGCATGGGAGGCTGAACTGAAACTGGGACACCATAGCTGATCCCCTGAGTCTTGGGGGGAAAGCGCCCCCTGCTGAGCCCACATCCTGCAGCACAGCACCCCCTCGTCCCACGGTGGGGGGAAAGCACCCTGCTCCTTGCAGTTCTAGGGGCTCCCGTCCCAGCTCCGCCCCCCGGACCCTGCTGAGCCCACAAGCCCCCAGCAGCTGGCAGCCCCCACCTGGGGTGTGGAAGAGGTGGATGGAGCTGGCGTTTCCTTCCCCAGCCGAGGTGGAGCCCGTCATCCAGAGCTGGTAGGAGGTGCCAGGCTCCAGGCCTGAGAGGTTGTAGCTTGTCTCTGTAGCAGCGACTGCACAAGGGTCGAGAGATGCGTGAGCTGGGAGGCCTGAGGTCTCCGTATTCCCATTGCCCCCAGCCCCGCCCCTCCCGGGTCAGACAGCAGGGGAAGGGACAGCTTCCCTTCCTGTCCAAGGCTAGTGCCCCTCCTCCACTCCCAAGCCTCGGCTCCTGTCTCCACTAGCACCCCCTCTAGTGGCCAGCCTACATAGAGGATAAAAGTCTCACTACCGCTGCTAGCAGAGGGAGCGACTCCTTTAGCTCGGAGACCCCCAGGTCCAACTCCAGCTGCTGCTCCACCTGAGATATCAGCTCAGCTCCCACCAGAGGCCCATGCTGCTGGGGTGAAGCCTGTTCCCACAGCACCCCGGATCCCTGGGGAGGGCCCCATGCCCCACGGGGCGGCACTTACTGGGCTGGTAGGTCTGTGGGCTCCCCGTGGGCACGGCGAGGTAGAGGGTGTAGTGGGTGATGTGCCCATTGCGCTGCGCCAGGGGGATCGCCTCCCAGGAGATGACAGACACCTCCTTGGAGATGCTACGATCCTGCAGGCCCTGGGGCCCTGCCGACGGCACTGGGGAGAGTGAAGAGGGGATGGGCTGTGAGTGAAGCCAGCAGTACCCATCCCACCTTCCTTAGCTCCCAGCGTGGGCCCATCGGGGTGGGACGGGGGCTGCGCACCTACCTCCTTCCTGGGTGTAGGCTCGGACAGGGGCCGATGCACCAAAGCCCCCGGGGTACAGCCCGTACACGCGGACCTGATACGGCACCCGTGGCCTGAAGTCACCTGGGGCAGGGGAGCGAAGGGAGACAGGGTCAGTTCCCAGGGGGAGCTGCCAATCTGAGCGGTCGCTGCCGAGTCCTGGCTTAGAAGCACAAAGTAGAAATTCCAAGCCCTTCTCGGGCACCTCACAACCAAGCCCCACAGCCCCAGCCTCCCCTCCCCGTCCTCGGGGCAGCAGGACTCCGAGGCGCATCTTACAAATGGGGAAACTGAGGCACCCAGCTATTTTGTGCAAGGGCCAGGATAGAGCCCAGGCATTATGACTCTCAGCCCCTCCCCCCGCTCTAACCACTAGACCCCATTCCCCATTTCCAGAGCTGGGACTAGACCCCAGGAGCCTTGACTCCTGTCCTATCCCTCCTTTAACCCACTAGACCCCACTCCCCACCCACAGCCAAAGATAGAACCCAGGAGTCCTGACTCCCAGCCCCCCCGCTCTAACCACTAGACCTCACTCACACGTGCAAAGGGCCTGACCGTTGCTCAGGCTGAGTTTTCCCAGCAGAGTGTCAGGCGTGGGACAGGGTGAAGCAGCCCCCTGGCCCCATGCTGTGGCATTCAGGGGCCTCCGTGGCCAGGCTCCCCCCATACCTGTCAGCAGGGCACTGTGAACACCCGCTGCCCTGCGCACCCAGCCCAGGGATGCCGCCTTTGAGCTGCTGCACTCCTTGGCCCACTCCACCAGGTACTCCGTGGGCTCCCCTTCCAGTGGGTCCTTGCTGGGCTCCCAGGTAACGCGGAGATCCTGCCCATGCATGGCCACAGCCTGGACCCCTGCCGGGGCAGGTAGATCTGGGAGAATCCACAGGATCCATCACTGGGCGCAGCTCCCCCTAGGTTAGTCGTTCTCTGGGTCCCCCCTGCACCAGCTTAGGGATGCTGCAGGAATGGGACTCGGGGCCTTTCCCTTCTAGGGGGCACTGGCCCTGATTCAACCCAGGGTGGGGGGACTGGCTGGCTCGGGGGGGGGCAGGGAATGGGGCTCTGGGCCTTTCCCCTCTAGGGGGCGCCATCCCAGATCCAGCCCAGCGTGGGGGGACTGGCTGGCTTTGGGGGCGGGGGGGGGCAGGGAATCGGGCACAGGGTCTTTCCCCTCTAGGGAAAGCTCCCATCTTACCCCATGGCAGGGAAGGGGCCAGCTCAGGGAGGGCAGGGAATGGAACTTGGGGCCTTTCCCCTCTAGGGGGCGCCATCCTGGATCCAGCCCAGCGTGGGGGGACTGGCTGGCTTGGGGGGGGGGGCGCAAGGAATGGGGGCTTTCCCCTCTAGGGAGCGCCGGCTCCCATCTGGCCCCAGGGTGTGGGACTGGCTGGCTCGGTGCAGGGGGAGCAGGGAATGGGGCACGGGGCCTTTCCCCTCTAGGGGATGCCAGCTCCCACCTGATTCTGCGGCAGGGGAGAGTCTGGCTCGGTGGTTAGGGAATGGGACACGGGCCCAGTGCGGTCAGGCCCCCACGGGGTCGTACCCTGCCGCTCCAAGCTGAGGTTGGCAGGCTGCGTCCGCCCGACGTGGTTGTTTGCCGAGATCCAGACGTGGGTGGTTCTGGCGGGGAGGCTCGCGTTGCAGCAGGGGGACTCCAGGGGGCTCTCGGCACCGTTGCTGCCCGTCCGGAAGGCCAGGCTGTAGCTGCGAATGACTCCCCTGGCTGCTTCGGAATTGAGCGGCTGGTAGGGAATCCAGCGAAGGGTTAACGCAAATGGATGAGTGTCCCATCCCCTCCCCCTGCCCCACCCCGCCCTCCAGATGGGGCCGCCCCTTGTGCTTGACATCGCTAGGGCCCCCGTTGCCTGGGAATAACCTGGGCCACCCCTGCAATGCAACCACCTCTGGGGTGGAACATGGCCGCTGCTTAGCAGCTGCGTGGACACATTGCTCATCAGTTTAGGACAGGAAGTGGAGGCTACGGGCGTGTCCAGGAGGGAAAGCCAATCGGAATTTGGCCAGGGCACCAGGGGGCACACCCCTAGTCATGTGACAGCGGAGCTTATCCAATCGGCTGGGACCTCCCGCACCGATGGGAAGACTCCTGCTGTACTGTACCCCTTTGTTTCCTGGTTTGCAGCGATCTAAGCACGGGGGCCTCTCGGGGGGGTAGCGCCGGGGAACCTCAACCCTGCAATGATGGGCCCAGGTGGGTCTCACCTTCCACAGCAGCAGCAGGCTGGGCTCTCCGGACTCAGCAGGGCTGGCCACTTGCCACACGTCCACCAGGCCCAGCGGGGCTAAGGGCAACAGAGAGGAGCCGTGGCATCAGAGAAGAAACTGGGGTCGCTCCAGGGCAGGGAGGGTGTACAGGGCACACAGCAGCTCTCCGGAGCCAGGAAAGCACTGGGCCCCTTTCCCAAGAGGGGTGTTCCCCTGACTGCCCGGGGCAGGACAGGCCTCTGCATTTAGCATTGCAGGGAGACCTTTTCCAGGGCTGGGAATAGAACCCAGGAATCCTGGCACCCAGTTTTTTCATCTTCTCCCCTATTACTAGACCCCACTCCCCTCCCAGAGCTGGGAACCGAACCCCAGAGTCCTGACTTCCAGCCCCCTGACCCCCCCCTTCCACCCCAGAGCTGGGAATAGAACCCAGGAGTCCTGACTGTTGCCGCCTTAACTGACTACACCACATGTGACCCTCCCCGGCAAGGCAGGCATTTTGCTCTGGCTAGCTCAGGCCCATGCGTACCAGCCTCGGGAGTCTGGAAGGTCTGGGACGGGCTCCAGTCGCTCCAGAAGCCCTTCCCGTCCTCAGGGATGCAGCGGGCCTGCACCTCGTAGGCCGTGAAAGGCTCCAGGCTGGAGAACTCGTAGTGGTTGGGCTCAACATCCCCCTCATGAACCTGCCAGGGAGAACGGCACAGAGAGAGATGGAGCCGCAGGGCTCTGGGGACCCATCTCGCAGGAGGGAGGGCTGGGAGGGGAGCGGGGTCCAGTGGTTAGAGCAGAGGGGATGGGAGTCAGGACTGCTGGGTTCTGTCCCCAGCTCTGGAAGCGGAGCAGGGTCTAATGCTCCATTGGTAGACCCCTGAGCCGTTCAGCCCAGATGATTAAGACACGGTGACCTTTGGCCTGTATGCCGGCTCCACCCTAGCCAGCAAGGCCCCGGTGTAGGAGGAATTCTGTGGTGGCCAGGTCATCCCAATTTAAGGAGTAGATGGGCCTGAGCGTAACTAGGAATCAGCATCTTTCATTCTACAGCTGCCCCCAGTCAGCAGAAGGTGTAACAGGCCCTGCTATTTGTTATGAGCAGGATTTGAACCCAGGACTCTGTAGCACCAGAATGCAGTCCTCCATTACTTGAGCTGAAGGAGGAGCTCTATTATCTAGCAGCAGTAGTAGGCTGCTATCCCAGAGGAAGCCCTGTCTTTCAACGCCCCCCTCCCCGCCCCAAGCACATTTTGCAATCCTGTCACGCAGACTCACCCTGGTCCAGTTGGCGGTCCCAGATACCCGGTAGCGAAGGTGGCAGGCCAGATCCCGGGAGAAATGCTCAGGCCACTGGGGGTTTGTCCAGCTCATGGTGACCACAGGGGTCACATCCTCTAGGCTCAGTACAGGGGGATCCGGCTTCACTGGAACCAACACAGTGGATGAAGGGAAAGTAGGAGCCAAAAGTCCTGGCTCCCAGGCCTAACCACTGAACCCCACTCCCCTCCCACAACTGGGATAGAACCCAGGAGTCCTGGCTCCCAGCCTCACCCACACCCAATCTAATCACTGTACCCAGGCTTTCTATGAAACAGCTGGCCCAGTTCTAGAGGATTTTAAGTGGAAAGCCTCGAGATGAAATCCACACAAATTCCCAATGGGGCCCAACAGCCTAGCCCCCATCTCCCAATCCCCCACCCCCACCATTCACTCCTAGGGCCGGTGAGGAGCTGGGCTGCTGCCTGGTGCTGGGTCACCTATTTCGTGCAGGGTCAGAGTTAGCCTTGGTGTGATCTGGGTCCCGTCACCAGCCTCCACCCAGACGGCATAGTTCTCATTGCGTGTCAGGTTGCTTCTTCCAATCACCACCCAGCTCTGTCCGGCGGGGGCCTGGGAACTCTGCGTCTGGTTGCGTTTGCTGGCAGATGAACCCAGGGAAGAAACTGATGAGTCGGAGCATACGACAGGGCAGAGCTAAGAATACAACCCGGGAATCCTGGTTCCCAGACCTCCCACTGCTCTCACCTCTAGACCCCACACCCCTCCCAGAGCCGGGAATAGAACCCAGGAGTCCTGGCTCCCAGCTCATGCTCTAGCCCAGGGGTAGGCAACCTATGGCACGGGTGCCAAAGGAGGCCTGCAAGCTGATGTTCAATGGCACTCACACTGCCCGGGTCCTGGCCACCACTCTGGGGGGCTCTGCATTTTAGTGTAATTTTAAAAGAATCTTCTTAAACATTTTAAAAATCTTATTTACTTTACACACAACAATAGTGTAGGTATAGATTATAGACTTATAGAAAGAGACCTTCTAAAAACGTTAAAATGTATGAGTGGCACGCGAAACCTTAAATTAGAGTGAATGAACGAAGACTCGGCACACCACTTCTGAAAGGCTGCCAACCCCTGCTCTAGCCGCTGCACTCCACTCCCCTCCCAGAGCTGGGGAGCTGTTCTGGGCACCTGAGCAGTGGGTGGGATCCTGGGCTCCCTCCCCCAGGCAGGGGGTTATACTCACAACTTCAGGCTCTGGTAGTGGAGGGTGTAGGTGGTGATAGCCTCAGAGCCGGACCTGCTGGGCCATGTGCAATTCATGCCCCCTCTGGGGCCCACCTGGTAACACTCCAGCCCTGTGGGTTCCTCTGGGTCACCTGCACCCAAGCACATATCAACCTGCAGCTGTCTGGGGAGGCCGGGGGCTTGGACGCTTCTATCCAGCCTGAGCGTGACTGGCCCCAGGGGTCCTGGGCCTAAGTGCTGGATCACACCCAGCAGCCTGCCACCTAGACCCTTCTCCTCCCCCACCCAGAGTCGGGAATAGAACCCAGGAGTCCTGACTCCCACTAACTCCCGCTCTCCCCCCAGAGCTGGGAATAGAACCCAGGAGTCCTGAGCCCCTCTCCTGAGCACGGACTTGCAGAGGGCTGTGCTGTCACTTGGTCTCCATTAAGATGCCCCATCCCCTGCCTTAACCTAGCTCAGTGCTTCCTGTTGAGTGCAGCAGGTCTAGGGCTCGCGGGGTGAGGGGCCGGGGGGGGGGGGAGGGGCTGACGGAGCCTTCCTCTGTCTGTCTGTCTGCAGCAGCCGCATCTCCGTGCCCGAAGCCTCTGTCAACATCTCCCCCAGCACACGTGCCACCAAGTCAAACAGTTATAAACCGCAGGGCGCTAGCAATCCGAGTGTCGGTGGCCGGGGGGGAGGGGAGAGGGTGTCTGCCCGTGGGGGTAACCTAGATCCTCTTTCACTGGGTTTCCATCCGCTCATGCTGGGCAGAGCCAGGCCTGCTGGATGGGAAAGTCAGGGTGTCGCAGGGAGTGGGAGGGGGGGCTCGCCAGGGGGCTCTCTCCCCTCCAACGGTGCTGACCTGGGTGTGGTGCCTGGGGTCCTGTGCTGTAGAGAGCAGGGGGGGCTCCCTCCCTTCAGTCAGTGCTGAGCCCAACATGGGACAAGGAGGGGGGTCTGTGCTGCAGGGAGCCGGGGTGGGGCTGTTGTGGTCCACTGGGGGGCAGTTGCAGCCTGGTGGGTACGGGGCCGGGGACTGAGCCTCAGACAGAGCAGGGGTCTGATTCTGACGGCACCCCGACTGGCTTTCCATCCATGCGTGGCAATAGACTCTTTAGGAGTCACTCCTGATTTACCCCAGTGTAAATGAAATCGGAACCAGGACTCGGGTGTCCTGGGAAATTGAAATTGAGCTCTCACCTTCCTGAAACCCAAAGGTCTTCAGTGCCAGCAGCAGGAGCCACGCTCCCCTCCATCTCTTCCTCATGGTGCCAGCCCCGCATGGGAAGCAGAGATAGCTGGTCAGCAACCTGGCAAGCAAGGAGCAAGGGTGTGTATGCTGGTAATCACCATAGTGCAGCAGATCTGGGCCCCTCTGGTTTTGCCGGGAGTCACTGGGAGGTCTCAGAAATGCAGACCGGGAGCTCCCTCCGCCTCTAATTTACAATGTCCCCATCTGTAAAAGAGGGCTGGTGATCCTATGTGAAGTGCTTGGAGAGCTCCTGAGTCATAGATCACAAGGCCAGAAGGGACCGTTGTGGTCATCTGGTGTGGCCTCCTGGCTAACACAGGCCAGAGAATGTGCCCCACAATAATTCCCAGAGCAGAGCCTTTAGAAACACATCCAGTCCTGACTGTAAACTTGTCCACGATGGAGAAGCCACCACGACTCTGGGTAAGTTGTTCCAGTGATCAATCCCCCTCGCTGTTAAAAAAAAACAAACGCCTTACTGCCAGCCTGAATTGGTCTAGCTTCAACATCATTGGCTCTTGTTAGACCTTGGGCTGCTAGATAGAAGAGCCTGTTATCAAAAATTTATAGGTATTTACAGATTGGGATCAAGTCACCCCTTAACCTTCTCTTTGTTGAGCTGAATAGATTGAGCTCCCTGAGTCTCTCACTACCAGGCACGTTTTCTAACCCTTCAATCATTCTCGTGGCTCTTCTCTGACCCCTCTCTGATTTATCAACATCCTTCTTGAATCCAGATTCCTGTTTATACATCCCCGGATCCCACTAGCCCTTTTGGCCCCAGCTTTGCGCTGGGAGCTTCTGTCCAGCTGGTTTTCTGCCATGACCCCCAAATCTTTCCAGAGTCCCAGCTTCCCAGGAGAGAGTCCCCATCCTGTAAGCACGGCCGACATTCTCTGTTTTGAAATGTAACAGCTACATTGGGCCATTTCAAAATGCAGATTGCTTGCTTCCTCAGTTTACCAACCAATCCAGACTGCCCTGAACCAGTGACCCCATCCTCTCTGTTATATACCATTCCCCCAATTTCTGTGCGGCGGTCAAACTTTATCAGGGATGGTTTTGTTTTCTTTTCTTCCATATCGTTAATAACAATGTTAAGTAGCATAGCAGGGCCAAGAGCAGATCCCGGCTGGACTCCACTAGAAACAGACCTGCTTGATGATGAGTCTCCACTTACACTTTGAGAACTATCACGTAACCCGATTTTCATCCATTAATGAGTGCCATGTTAATTGGGATGAAGAGCACTAGATAAAAGCTAGGGAGTTATTAGTCATTGTTATTGTTTAATTGCAGGGTTTAACCCAGATAGTTTTGCTCCTAACCACTCCTCGGGCATTTGAGTTAAATAGGCACCAATCAAATAAACAAATCAGTGTTTTCCCCACTCAGTTCATAAGCATCTCAGGGGGCAAAAGCTTCCCTGTTATCCATAGAGTCTTCTCACAGGAAGGTGGGGAAGGAAATACCAGAGGAGACAAAGCATCATAGAATCATAGAATATAAGGGTTGGAAGGGACCCCAGAAGGTCATCTAGTCCAACCCCCTGCTCGAAGCAGGACCAAATCCCAGTTAAATCATCCCAGCCAGGGCTTTGTCAAGCCTGACCTTAAAAACCTCTAAGGAAGGAGATTCTACCACCTCCCTAGGTAACGCATTCCAGTGTTTCACCACCCTCTTAGTGAAAAAGTTTTTCCTAATATCCAATCTAAACCTCCCCCACTGCAACTTGAGACCATTACTCCTCGTTCTGTCATCTGCTACCATTGAGAACAGTCTAGAGCCATCCTCTTTGGAACCCCCTTTCAGGTAGTTGAAAGCAGCTATCAAATCCCCCCTCATTCTTCTCTTCTGCAGGCTAAACAATCCCAGCTCCCTCAGCCTCTCCTCATAACTCATGTGTTCCAGACCCCTAATCATTTTTGTTGCCCTTCGCTGGACTCTCTCCAATTTATCCACATCCTTCTTGAAGTGTGGGGCCCAAAACTGGACACAGTACTCCAGATGAGGCCTCACCAATGTCGAATAGAGGGGAACGATCACGTCCCTCGATCTGCTCGCTATGCCCCTACTTATACATCCCAAAATGCCATTGGCCTTCTTGGCAACAAGGGCACACTGCTGACTCATATCCAGCTTTTCGTCCACTGTCACCCCTAGGTCCTTTTCCGCAGAACTGCTGCCTAGCCATTCGGTCCCTAGTCTGTAGCTGTGCATTGGGTTCTTCCGTCCTAAGTGCAGGACCCTGCACTTATCCTTATTGAACCTCATCAGATTTCTTTTGGCCCAATCCTCCAATTTGTCTAGGTCCTTCTGTATCCTATCCCTCCCCTCCAGCGTATCTACCACTCCTCCCAGACTATGCTGACAGCTTGTGCCTCACGCTTTCAAAGAAACTGCGGAATCACCTGATCAAGATCCTCTACAGCAAACAGGGAAAGATTAAGAATGAGCTCTCAAAAATGGATACTCTCATAAAGAACCAACCTTCCACACAAACTTCCTCGTGGCTGGATTTTACTAAAACTAGACAAGCCATTTACAACGCACACTTTGCTTCTCTACAAAAGAAAAAGGACACTAAACTTTCTAAACTACTACATGCTACAAGGGGCCACAGCAATGGTTCCCTCACCCCACCTAGCAATATTGTTAACCTATCCAACTATACTCTCAGCCCAGCAGAAGCAGCTGTTCTATCTCGGGGCCTCTCCTTCTGCCCCTCCACCCCCACGAACATGATACAGTTCTGTGGTGACCTAGAATCCTATTTTCGACGTCTCCGTCTCAAGGAATATTTCCAAAATACCTCTGAACAACATACTAATCCACAGAGGTCTCCCTGCCAACACTACAGAAAGAGGGATTCTAGATGGACTCCTCCTGAAGGTCGAAACAGCAGACTGGACTTCTACATAGAGTGCTTCCGCCGACGTGCACGGGCTGAAATTGTGGAAAAGCAGCATCACTTGCCCCATAACCTCAGCCATGCGGAACGCAATGCCATCCACAGCCTCAGAAACAACTCTGACATCATAATCAAAAAGGCTGACAGAGGAGGTGCTGTTGTCATCATGAATAGGTCGGAATATGAACAAGAGGCTGCTCGGCAGCTCTCCAACACCACTTTCTACAAGCCATTACCCTATGATCCCACTGAGAGTTACCAAAAGCAACTACAGCATTTGCTCAAGAAACTTCCTGAAAAAGCACAAGATCAAATCCGCACAGACACACCCCTGGAACGACCTGGGATATTCTATCTACTACCCAAGATCCATAAACCTGGAAATCCTGGGCGCCCCATCATCTCAGGCATTGGCACCCTGACAGCAGGATTGTCTGGCTATGTAGACTCCCTCCTCAGGCCCTACGCTACCAGCACTCCCAGCTACCTTCGAGACACCACTGACTTCCTGAGGAAACTTCAATCCATCGGCGATCTTCCTGATAACACCATCCTGGCCACTATGGATGTAGAAGCCCTCTACACCAACATTCCACACAAAGATGGACTACAAGCCGTCAAGAACACTATCCCCGATAATGTCACGGCTAACCTGGTGGCTGAACTTTGTGACTTTGTCCTTACCCATAACTATTTCACATTTGGGGACAATGTATACCTTCAGATCAGCGGCACTGCTATGGGTACCCGCATGGCCCCACAGTATGCCAACATTTTTATGGCTGACTTAGAACAACGCTTCCTCAGCTCTCGTCCCCTAACGCCCCTACTCTACTTGCGCTATATTGATGACATCTTCATCATCTGGACCCATGGAAAAGAAGCCCTTGAGGAATTCCACCATGATTTCAACAATTTCCATCCCACCACCAACCTCAGCCTGGTCCAGTCCACACAAGAGATCCACTTCCTGGACACTACAGTGCTAATAAACAATGGCCACATAAACACCACCCTATACCGGAAACCTACTGACCGCTACTCCTACCTGCATGCCTCCAGCTTTCACCCTGACCACACCACACGATCCATCGTCTACAGCCAAGCTCTGCGATACAACCGCATTTGCTCCAACCCCTCAGACAGAGACAAACACCTACAAGATCTCTGTCAAGCTTTCTTACAACTACAATACCCACCTGCAGAAGTAAAGAAACAGATTGATAGAGCCAGAAGAGTTCCCAGAAGTTACCTACTACAGGACAGGCCTAACAAAGAAAATAACAGAACGCCACTAGCGGTCACCTTCAGCCCCCAACTAAAACCCCTCCAACGCATTATTAAGGATCTACAACCTATCCTAAAGGATGACCCAACACTCTCACAAGTCTTGGGAGACAGGCCAGTCCTTGCCTACAGACAGCCCCGCAACCTGAAGCAAATACTCACCAACAACCACATACCACACAACAGAACCACTAACCCAGGAACTTATCCTTGCAACAAAGCCCGTTGCCAATTGTGCCCACATATCTATTCAGGGGACACCATCACAGGGCCTAATAACATCAGCCACACTATCAGAGGCTCGTTCACCTGCACATCCACCAATGTGATATATGCCATCATGTGCCAGCAATGCCCCTCTGCCATGTACATTGGTCAAACTGGACAGTCTCTACGTAAAAGAATAAATGGACACAAATCAGATGTCAAGAATTATAACATTCATAAACCAGTCGGAGAACACTTCAATCTCTCTGGTCACGCAATCACAGACATGAAGGTCGCTATCTTACAACAAAAAAACTTCAAATCCAGACTCCAGCGAGAAACTGCTGAATTGGAATTCATTTGCAAATTGGATACTATTAATTTAGGCTTAAATAGAGACTGGGAGTGGCTAAGTCATTATGCAAGGTAGCCTGTTTCCTCTTGTTTTTTCCTACCCCCCCCCCCCCGATGTTCTGGTTTAACTTGGATTTAAACTTGGAGAGTGGTCAGTTTAGATAAGCTATTGCCAGCAGGAGAGTGAGTTTGTGTGTGTATGGGGGTGGGGGGGATGTGAGAAAACCTGGATCTATGCAGGAAATAGCCCGACTTGATTATGTAAAGAGTTGTCACTTTGGATGGGCTAGCACCAGCAGGAGAGTGAATTTGTGTGGGGGGGTGGAGGGTGAGAAAACCTGGATTTGTGCTGGAAATGGCCCACCTGTTGATCACTTTAGATAAGCTATTACCAGCAGGACAGTGGGGTGGGAGGAGGTATTGTTTCATATTCTCTGTGTGTATATAAAGTCTGCTGCAGTTTCCACGGTATGCATCTGATGAAGTGAGCTGTAGCTCACGAAAGCTCATGCTCAAATAAATTGGTTAGTCTCTAAGGTGCCACAAGTACTCCTTTTCTTCCTCCCAGTTTAGTATCATCCGCAAATTTGCTGAGAGTGCAATCCACACCATCCTCCAGATCATTTATGAAGATATTGAACAAAACCGGCCCCAGGACCGACCCTTGGGGCACTCCACTTGATACCGGCTGCCAACTAGACATGGAACCATTGATCACTACCCGTTGAGCCCGACAATCTAGCCAGCTTTCTACCCACCTTATAGTGCATTCTTCCAGCCCATACTTCCTTAACTTGCTGACAAGAATACTGTGGGAGACCGTGTCAAAAGCTTTGCTAAAGTCAAGAAACAATACATCCACTGCTTTCCCTTCATCCACAGAACCAGTAATCTCATCATAAAAGGCGATTAGATTAGTCAGACATGACCTTCCCTAAAACTAAAACTGCCACCAACAACTAAAGGAAATGAATAAAAATCGAGCCCACAAACTACACCCCAGGCATTAATTTGACCCCCAAAAAGGGGAAGGGCCAGAAAGACACCATGAAATCCGCTCAGGCCATGCTATTGCCATGGGTTTAACACAGGAGGTGCCCAGAGTCCACAGTGACGGGTGGCAGGATAAAGCTCTAACACTGAGGTGAGATCTAAATGTCAAAAGCAAAAAAAAATAGTAAATAAAAGAACAGAACGAAACAAAACAAAACAAAATGAGAAAGCGGGGAGACTGATGGGAAACCAGTGATGTGGTGATGCATTGGAGCTCCGACTTGCACCTCTTCATGGCCTCAGTTCGCTCTCATGCGCAGACAGCACATAGGAAAGGCCGGACTGGATCAGCACCAAGGTCCATCTAGCCCACCCAGCAGTGCCTGGCACCTGCTGTCCCAGAACCCCACAGGGCGGGGATCACCAGCCCATAGGAAAGGTCCTTCCTGACCCCTAATCGGCTCCAGCCCCAAAGCTAGAAGGTTGTAAATTTCTTGGGCAAAATGCCTATTGGCTCCTCTAGGGCCAGGATTTCCCTCTCGGATGCTCTCCTTACCCATACAAATGTCCAAGCTGATGGTTTGGAATCCTGCTAAGCTTTTGGATCAGTCTGGTCTCGTAGCAAAAACTAACCTTGACTTCAATTGTCATTGTCTTTATTACCCTGATTTCCAGCCTGCCCCCCTGCCCCGATCTAGCCACTAGATCCCACTCCCCTCCTTGAGCCAGGGGTAAAATGCAGAAATTCTGACTCTCAGTCTGCTGCGCCTCGAACCACTAATTCCATCTCCCCTCCGAGATCTGGGAATAGGACCGGACAGCTGACTTCCAGACCTCCCTGCTTGCTCTAACCACTAGATCCCACTCCCGCCCCCTTGTTCCATGGATAGAACCCAGTAATTCTGACTCACAGAGCTGGGAATAGAACCCAGGAGACCTGATTCCCAGCAGCCCCGCCCCAAACCAGTAAACATGACTCCCCTTCTCATGCCAGGGGTAAAACCCTAGCATCTTGGCTCCCAGCCACCGCTCCTCTAACCATGAGCCCAAACTCCCCTCCCAGAGCTGGGAATTCAACCCAGGAGTCCTGACTCTTGGACTCAGTAGAGCTTGTGTCAAGCGCTTCTTTGTGCTTCTCCCCTGCTCACCTCCTCTCCACCCACTCCATAGCACGACCTGAACAAATGAACATCCAGAGATCTTCCGCGGACCACCCTTTGAGACTCCCCTTTCACTGCAGCCCTCCCTGCCCGGGGGGGGGGAGGAAATGCAGAGCCCCCCCCCCACATCTGGAACAGCTGGGCCCCATCACCTTAGCCCAGTAACCCCCCCCCTTCCATCCTTACCCGTCAGCCAACACTGTCCCACAATCCCCTCCACAAGGTACTTGGCAACCCCAGTCACATACTTGGCTTAAAGTTGGAGGCTGTGGCCGAGCTCCCCTGGTAAGAGGACAAAGGAACAGAGGAACAGCTGGGAAAGGAAGCGGTTGCAAAATCAGGCCACACGCCAGGGGCTCCCACGGTCCCCGCCGCCTGGGACAAAGTGGCCGGCGGCGAGTGGAGAGGAAAGAGCCTGAAGCAGGAAGCGCTGGGTTGCACACTCGCTGAGCAAGCTGTACCGGGGACGGACACACACACACACACACGCAGCCAGCTGCCGAGACACCGGAACAAGCCCCCCGTCAGAGTTTCCGAAAGTTTGCAGCGCCGCCCGGGTGGCTCTTCGGGGCGCACGTCCCCCCGAGCTAGCGCCGGAAGGCGGGGGCGCTGCTCGGTTGGCGTCTCTGCGGCGCAGGCAGGGGGGAGAAGCCAAGCGCCGCCCACCCCGCCGCGGAGCGGGGGATCCCCCGGGCTGTTGCTTTAACCATGTGCCGGTCAGAGCCAGGGCGAGAAGCCAGCACTCCCGGCTCGTGGAGAGTAAACGGGGGTAGACAGAGCCGACCCCCTGCCTGTCTGGGGCTGACGGAGTTTAGTTTACCCACTTCTTTTCTTTGCCACTAGACCATGGAGTCAGCCCTGCTCTAACCACCAGACCTCGCTCCCCACCCAGCAATAGGCATAACGCCCAGGAGTCCTGGTTTTCAGTTCTCTGCCGCTGCTCTAACCACTAGTTCACATTCCCCTCTCACAGCCAGGAACAGAGTCCACCAGTCCTGCTTCCTGTCCCCTCTTAATCTACAGCATACTCCTCTCCCAGCGCCCAGGGGTCCGGACCCACACGTCCCTTGCTCTAACCACAAGCCCATACTCTCTCCCACAGCAACATGGAGAACTGTTCACTCCAGAACTCTTGTTTCCTGTACCAAACACTGTCACGGGGTCCCTGGGCGATGCTCTGGAACTGCTCCCCATGAAGCCAGGCAGGACTCTGGGGCAGTCGCCTTCCTGTCTGCAGGACACGCAGCTCACACAGTTTCCACCTTCCTGGGTCTGACCTCGGAGCATTCAGCATCCTCTGCCCCCCCTGCGCTTCCCACAGCGAGTCTGCCCAGGCGGGGTCCTGGGGAAGCCAGAGGGTCCTGCCCCCCAACTCCGCAGTCAGACGTGACTCTCAGCCAGCCAGTAAAACAGAAGGTTTATTAGACGACAGGGACATGGTCTAACACAGAGCTTGTAGGTGCAGGGAACAGGACCCCTCAGCTGGGTCCATTCTGGGGGGCAGTGAGCCAGACAACCACATCTGCACTTCACTCCATGTGCCCAGCCAGCCCCAAACTGAAACTCCCTCCAGCCCCTCCTCCTCTGGGCTTTGTCCCTTTCCCGGGCCAGGAGGTCACCGGATTTCTTTGTTCTCCAACCCTTTAGCTCTCACCTTGCAGGGGGGGAGGGCTCAGGCCATCAGTGGCCAGGAAACGGTGTCGGCCATTGTCTGTGTCCAGACCCCTGCACACACCTGCCCTCTAGGGCTCTGCAATGATCATACACCCTTACCCCACCCCCTAGATACTTAAGAACTGCATAGGGGAAACTGAGGCACCCCCACACAATTCAGAGGAAACATTAAGAATAGTCCCACTTCATCACAAACACTAAGTAACATTCTTTGTTCAGTGCCACACAATGTACTAACGTGCATCTAATAATATCCCTCATTAAGGAGATTCCAGTGCAAGGAGATGTGCAAGCAAAGGAAGAAAGTCAGGACTTCTGGGTTTTATCCCCAGCTCTGGGAGGGGAGTGGGGTCAAGTGGGTAGAGCAGGGGAGGGGGAGGGCTGGGAGTCATGACTTATGGTTTTTATTCCCAGCTCTGATGGAGAGTGGGGTCTAGTGGTTAGAGCAGGGGGGCCAGGCCCCAGCCCTCCTAGGTTCTCTTCCCAGCACGGGGAGGGGATTGGGGTCTAGTGGTTAGCACTAAGCTAACTGACTCCACCAGCTGCAGAGTGACAGTTGACCAGCCCCACAGATTTGAAGGCTGACTATCCAGCCTGCAGCCCACCAGCCAGAGAATCGGAGCCATGGGGCCCTGCCCCTGGAGCTGTGTCGACTCCTCTTGAAAAGCCCTTTGCTAAACCTCTTTTGAAAGGGGTTTTTTGAACCCCTTTGAAAACCTCTTTTCTGTGAGCCCGTCCATGGTCACTTGGCTCCTGGGGGATTTAGGGGGTGTATCAGGCCTAGGCACCCCTGTCATAGACCAGGACCCTGCTCTGTTAGGGGCTGGACAAACAGAGAACACATGCAGGGTTTTAAGAGTGTCCCTTGCTAGTGGTGTTTACCAGGCTTGCCCAACCGTTGCTGTTATGCATCGATCGCTGGGGACGGACTGGAAGCGGGGGTAAGAGGAGAATCATTCCTGGAATTCACCATAAAACATGACGCCACAGGGAAGTAAGGCAGAACCTGACGGGAATTCTCAGCCCAGGGGCTTTCCCAGGAAGGGCTATGGGACATAGCTGCGGCTCCAGCTAGTCCACGCCCGGCTTCTCCCAGCAACAGGCCCTACAGGATGGGAGGAGGAGAGCTGGCTGGGTGGGGAGCTCCAGTCTCAGCAGGGGGTGCTGCAGGGAGCAGGGCAGATGTGCCAGCTGTGGGAGGGTAGCTCACAGCCATTGCAGTCCTGGCTTCTCCCAACAGGGGGCGGGACAGGGAGCGGGGGAGATGTGCTGACTGGAGGGGAGCTCCTGGCTACTCCAGCACCAGCAGGAGGCGCTCTGGGGAAGGTCCAGCCCCTGCTAAATCGCTCCGATTTTCCAGGGTGTGGGAATGTGCAGCCCCATGCCCCTGATCCCAGAGTCCCTCTCACACAGTTAATTTCTTTTGATCTTTTATTTAACCCTGAATACCAGCGCAAGAAGAGGCAACATGGGGCGGGGGGGGGGGGACGGGACACCACAACTGGAAGGGGAAGGGCAGGGCGAGATTTGTCATCTGGTTCCTTATTCATGTCCAAATCAAAACTCAGCCGCCCATCTCCATTTGCCCCAGAACCCTGGAGTCCACCACTGCCCCCTTCCAGGGGCCACCCCCAGCATTATATTACCCCATCTGAAGTCACATACATTTCCACGGCCCGTTCCCTGCAGTCCTCACTCGGATAGAGCTCCCAGGGAGCTGAGCAACTGCAGGGCTCTTAACTGTGGGTTTCTACTTGCAGCTGTGATCCCAGGGCCAGATCCTCCGCCGGTGCTAATCAGAGCTGCCCTGATGCCAGCTGAAGACCTAGTGCCAACATGCGGTGCCGTGTGCTGAACCCTGCCCCCTCCCCCTGTGCCCCAGCCCCCCGCCTCTAGCACAGGGAGCTGATCTCGCTCTTGCTGCATCCCCACTTGCAGCACGAGGTGCTCAGCCCTGCCATGACGTCCCGGACGACGCGCTCCAGAGGCCAGCTTGCTTCGGCGAGGCCGCGGCCCGGTTTGCCTCTCCACCTCTCGTGGTAGTCGGAGGAGAGCTCTTGGTGGGGCAGTGTCCCGGGCAGGTGGCTGGCATCCCACTCACTGGAGGCGGCTTCTGCGGAGTCTTCCCCTGCAGGGGGGCTGCTCAGGATATCGAGGTCACCTGCAGCGGAGGAGGAGACAGGGAAGTGGGAGGGAAGGGGTTAATGCATAGAGAACAGAGGTCACAATTTCCTGTCGACAGCAAGGCTAGAACTCAGTTTCTCCTGCTCCAGGAGCACTGACCTCTCCGCTTGACTTGAAGGGAAAATCTCCCTCTTGCTGTTAGCAATATAGGGCCTATGACACACAGACGAGCTGTTCTGATTCCAGCCTGCAGAGGTAGCCACACAGTGCTCCCCTCTGACATTATCTTGGTCTCTCTGCCTTCTCGTTCTGACATGCAAGCCTCTCTCCTAAAGACCCAAGAGACCCTGCCAATAGGTCACTCCCTAAGCAGTATGGTGCGCAAAAGTAAAACCTAGATGCCTTATCTCGCCAAGCACGGCACGGACACAGACATCGGGGCCTCCCATCACACCAGTCACTTCACAGACACCCCCCTCCTTAGGGAGATCGGGGCCCCCCACCCCAGTGACTGGACAGACACCCCTTCCTGAGTGATGCCCACCCTTCATGTGGGCATCTCCCTGACAATACGCCCTCCCCCCAAGCAAGGTCAGTGTCTCCACTGCACCAGGAGCTGCACAGACCAACCCCCCACACCTGAGACAAGGGGCCCCCATCACACTAAATGCCGCACAAAACCCTGGCTCCTCCCCAGCCAAGAGCAGGGTCCCCATTGTGCCAGGTGCTGCACAGACACAAGGGGAGAGACAGTCCCTGCCCTGAAGATCTTGCTCTCTGAACAGATCAAAGCCTCATTCTACAGATGGGGAAACTGAGGTACAGTGAGGGGAAGGGACATGCCCAAGGTCCCCCAGCAGGGCGGGTGGCCGAGCCAGGAACAGAAGCATGGGCTCAGTCTAGCACCTGCAGTGGGAACAACAGACAAGTCCTAGGTAGCAAATCCAACACTAGCCCCACATCCGGACTAGACACTGGCAGGCTGCAACCTCTGGCCTGAGCCCAGCTTCTTTCAAGGAGCGAGCAGTAGGGATAAGCTCCCCCCTTTTAGCCCCTTCCCCTCCAGGGCTGACACTCACTGCGGGTGTAGCGGGGCAGGGCTGACTGAGCCAATGCAGCGTGGGAACCTATTCCCGGCCGCACGGGGTTTGTACGCCCCATCACAGATCCCCCCAGCTGGCGGGCGATGAGGCAGGAAGCGCCGGCAAATTTCCCAGGGGGGAAATTGCCATTGGCTTCTGACTTGTCATGGGAGCAAATCTGCTCTGAGAGCTGCTGGAGGGGGATAAATGTGGGACCCTAGATCTGCCCTTCTGGGTGACACGGCTCCCCGGGCTGCTCCTAAGAACCGAGCAGCGAGTCACACCCCACCTGGGGGGAGCAGACACTCAGTCACTCCTGGATTGTGCCCGTGGAACCCCCCTCCCAAGCCGCAGCACACTTCACCAACATTGAATTAAGTCCCACAATCCCCACCTCTGGGGAGGCAAGGTAGGGACACTGATCCTTGTTTTACACATTGGGAAACTGAGGCACAGAGTGGGGGAGTGAGCTGACAAAAAGTCACGCTGCAAGTCAGTGGTAGAGCCAAGAATAGAACCCAGGAGTCCTGACTCCCAATTCCCCCCCGCCTCACGCACACCACTTCTCTTCCAGAGCCAGGAATAGAACCCAGGAGTCCTGATCCTCAGCTCCCACTCTCATTCCAACCAGCAGACCCCGCTCCGCTCCCATTGAGTACCCAGCAGCCATGCACGCTCCCCCACAAACGCCCTTCTCACCTGTCCGTCTCCAGCGGGAGCCCCCACAGGTGAAGATGACAGCCCGGATGAACTCCCTCCCACACAGCTTGACGCCGTAGGGTGGGTTCCGGCCCTCAGCCCCCAGCCTCAGCTCCGAGAACAGCAACCCAAAAGCCAGAGCCAGAAGGAGCTTCTGCATGGCTGCTTGGGGTGGCGAGATGGACGCCAAGGCCAGAAGAGCTCACAGCTGCCTCCTGAGCCCCACTGCGGCCCCCTTTATACATCCCACCCCCTCCCTGCTGAGGAGCCCCTCGGAGACACCACACAAAGGGTGGCCTTTGGCCATCGGCTCTGGTGCTATCTCTCCAATTAGCTGGCCGAGTCACTCGAGTGGCACACAGAGACCTTTCCGTTGGAGCTAGGGACATCAGGCCTGGGTGCCAGGGAGCGAGACGCTGATAACCTTTTCCTGGTTATCGCTGTGCCCAAGGCGGAGGGACAGACGTCGGCGGTGAGCCAGTGGCTCTCTGTGTGTCTCTCTCTCTCTCTCTCTCTCTCTCACACACAAATGCAAACCCTCCCCATGCATGGAGCATCCATTCAAACCCCTCTGTCGTTCCCCCAGCCAACAAGGCCAGGGGTCAGAGCTGCCCATGTGACGCTGCTGGGAAGGTTGGAAGCTCCCGAGGGCCCTGCTCCCTTGGACTGGCTTTTCCCACCCCTTGTGAGGACCATTACCCCCACTTTGCCATGGGGAGAAACTGAGGCACAGAGAGGGTCAGGGACTCTCCTGAGCTATCATAGGCAGTCAGCAGTAGAGCTGGGGACAGACCCAGGAGTCTTGTCTGTCTGCTTTGCCCTCTCCATCCCTGGAGTTGTTATGGGGATCTAGCGTTTCCTCTAGACTTTGTGGATGGCAGACACTACATTCCCTATAGGGAAAGCTGGAAGAAAGCTGGTTGTGAGGGGCTCACAGCTACTCCAATACCAGCCTCCGCCAGCAGGGGGCACCGTAGGCAGTGGGGCAGGAACACATGTAGCTGTTGGAGCACCACCCAGCTCTCCTGATTCTCCCCTGATTCTCCTCAGCAATCTCATTCCTTCAGAGCTTTCCCCACAAGCTCATCACCCAGTGCAGAGCGCTCTTGCATCACCCCAGACAGCAGGAGCAATAGTGACCTTTGCTTATCTCCTTTCAATTATATCCTTCCTCCTTCGATGTGAGAGGCCGTGGGCTGTGCGGAAAATGCCAGCATGCCAGCCTGCAGCGCAGAGATAACCCCAGCTGGAGCCCCTCCTGCCCTGCCAGATAACAACTCATATTTCCAAACTCAGCCACAGTCCACGCTCTCCTTGGGGGGGACGCTCCCTGTGCTGGGGAGGAACACTGCCACCATGTCTCTTTTGACGTTTCTTATTCTTCTCTGGAGATAAATGAGACAAAGCTATGAGTGCCACTTCCCTTCCCTCAGGTTCATATGCATTTCGCACAGCAACAGCTTTGGGGCAAACGCTCCCCCGCCCCAAACCCTACCGCAAGTGCCCTCAGGCCTCTGACATCCACCGAGGAGTCTATTTTTAAAAGCGTATTCCACAAGAAGTGCAGACCTCATCCTAGCATAGCTGCATCAACTTCACAGGAGTAACTCCTGATTTACACCATCATAACAGAGAAAGTCTGACCCAGCAACTCAATTTAAATTGAAGGCTGGAGCTGTCCCTACGGGGATTTGAACCTGTGATAGCAGGAAGTTTCACACCTGCTGCTTGAGTGCTCTGAGCCCTTGGAAAGCACAACCCAAGCTGCATGAATTTGGTAACTATGATAGATTTTTATCTGAATGCTAGACCTAAAGTATCAATTCAGGGATCTTGGGAATCTAAGAAACAGGTTTCCTTCTTTGTCAGTTTCATCCAACAGGCAGGGGATTACACAGGCTCAGAAACAAAAATCTATGTGAAGACAAGAGAGGGGTCCCTCTGGGCCTGGCTAAAGCACATTGGCACATAGGACCTGCCATTCCCAGGGGAGGAACTGGGCTGGATCATCCCCCCCGTCATGCTTTCTGGAGGCTGCTATCTCATGCTCCAAGATCTCAGTTCTCATGATTTTTAAAAAATAAATGAGTGCAGAGAAAACACCACTGGACTGTGGTCAGGCACTCGGGCGATGGCGACGGGCGGCAGCACAGAGCCTAACAGGGAAACGGTGCAGCGATGGCTGCGGAGAAGCTGAGCGTCCACTGTCCGGCCTTTGTTTATTCAGTCCTTTGTGCGGGTGCAAAGGAAGCGCGAGACGGTCCCCAGGCAATACAGCCGGAGAGCAGCCCCCAGGCACCAGCACGAGTGACGGCACGAGGGCCAGGCAGGTCGGGATCTGGCCCTGTGGCTCCGAGGCGCGTCTGTACCAATGCGCTATGGCGGGTGCCCGCCTGTGCCGTGCCCCGGAGCACCCAGGGCTGCGCCCGTGACATCACTGCCTCATGAGGCGTGGCATCGCTGGGGTTTCGAGGCACAGGGTGACGTCACACCCCGCGCAGTGACGTCACAGGTTTGAGACAGGCGGTGCTCCTTGTCCCCTCCAGCCACAGCAGAGACAGGGGGGCAACCCCTGGCCTCTGCTAGCCAAGAACTACATTTCCCATCATCCCCCAGGGCAGAGCCCGCTTGCGCGTTTCTCCCACGCTGGGGCGCGGCTCTACAGGGCTCAACTGCCGCTTCCCCTCCAACTGACTGAAGGCGGTTCTAGCCAATCGCAACCAGCCAACGCCCTGACTGGCCAATCCCAACCCGGCTCCTCACCCCCCCCCCCCAGCCCCACCCCGAAACCGACGGAGGAACTGCCCAATCAACGTGGAGACGGACGTGGAGAGAAGCCAATCAGCACGCTCCAAGCGAATCAGACCAATTACAACCAGGATTGGAAAAGCGACGTCAAAGGAGTGGCAGGGCCTCCAGCCAATCAGAGCGAGCAGGGCGAAGATTGACAGCCAGCGTACCCAATGGAGCGGTCAGCTCCGTCCAATCAGCCCAGGGGCCTCCCTCTCTCCCCCTTCGGCCCCGCCCGCAGCCGAGGTGGGTAGCAACAGTTGCCCCGGTGAGGGAACACGGAGGGCGCCATAGCCACGGTAGTCGTGGCGACCAGGAAACCCGGCAACAACAACAACAACCGCCCCGAGCGGACCCCCCTCCCCCCACCGACTAATCGATACCCTCCAAAAATCCGGCACCGCCGCGGCCGATGACCGGCGGCTCCACCCGAGCCCGGCGCGTCGGAGCCTGAAGGGAAGCGGCCTCCGCGGGGCTCCGAGACCGGGCCGCGGGGAGGGACAGTTCAGGTGGGTCCTACTCTAATTCCCCCTCCACACAAAATGGCTGCGGGGGATGGGCGCCGGAGGGGCCGCGCCCCTGAGAGGAAGGCGCCCGGGGGCGGGGGGGGTGATACAGTCGATTACTCGGAGGCTGCTCGCGCTCGAGTGAGGGCCTGGCCGTTGCCCCAGGATTAAGAAGGGCCCAGGCTCGGTGGGCGGGGCTTACAGCGCTCCCCGGTGATTGGTGGGCGGGCGGGCCAATGAAAAGAAGCGGGGCACCGGGGGCACCCAATGGGGGGAGGGGGAGGGGCTAAAACGGGGAGCCCCCTGCCCCCAACACTAGGGCGGGTTTCCAAAGTGGGGCGGGTCCCCCCCCCCCACCGTGATGTCATAAGGCACGTGGCAGTGTCAGGGCCCATGATGTCATCCAGTGACATCACAAGGCCCAGCGGTGAGGTTGTCAGGGGTCATTCCCGTGCCCGCGCGCCCTGGCCACGCCAGGCTCTCCCAATCCGTGGGGGAGCCTGCAAGATCCCGCTGCCGGCCCCCTTGATGTTTTATGATGACGTCATTGTGAAGCGTTGCCAGGTCAGCGTAGCGAGGGGTGAAAATGACATCACCCCCACGCCGTGATGGGGCATTCACCTGTCATTAGGGTACAGCCTCGTCTCGGCCACGCACAAGGCTGCATTAAAAAGTCAAGATGTTATTCCAATGCCACAGGCTTCAAAATGACCAAGTGTGGCATCAGAACCCCTTTGCACCATGTAGTGATGGTGATGTCAAAATATCAACATTGCATGCACAGATGGTGCATTATAATATCATCGTATGATGTCAAACTCGTCCTGGCAAAAGGGGGCCTTGCCTCCGAGCAGCGTTGTGCCACAAGATGCGAAGATGATATGTTGAAAACTTCATGTCTTAACCCGATGGCCGTCATGTGGAGTCAAAAGGTGACGGGAGGTGACAGTGCCTTTGAAACGTCATCACTCCACCAGGCAGCACGCTGACGTCTCAAAACACCCTCACGCTGTGGGTGACATGTCACTAGTGTGTCAAAATGGCATCAAAGCTGCCACTGCTCATGCTTGTGCAAAATGTCATTTTGACAGTGTGTCAAAGCATTGTTGTGTTGTCACACTATGGCACTGGGAGATCACAACATAGCATCAAAATACCACAGAGCAGACACAGCATGATCACATTTTTCAGACCCTGGAAACAATTTCCAAACCCATGAAAGTCCTCAGTAAATTGAATCCTGTCAACAGAATTGGAGCAATTTAGGAAAATTAGGGATGGGGACCATTCACCAGGGAAATTACCTTCTCCCTGGCTCTAAATTACCCATTCCCTGGCTTTAAAAGTTCAGTAGGGGGTGGATTTGCTCCTTCTGTATATTTTCCTGTGGTTCGCATTACTATTAAATAACTTTATTATGATGCTGCGTTTATCTTGGTCTGTGGCTGTGGATCCTTTGTCTGACTTTCCCCTTCTGGGCATTTCACAAATAAATTGCAAGGGGATAGGTAAAATGGGGAGGAATGAGATGTTGTTATATATAGAGATGAGGCTTGGGGGGAATAGCTACTAGGAGTTGAATGGACATTGATCAGTTTAGGTTGAGTGAGAAGGAAGAGAAGGCTCTTACGTTGCAAAAGTCGGGATACAGGATATAAACTTGCGAGGTGCTGAGTGCCCTCAACATCTCTTGAAGCCAGAGGGAGTTGAGGGTGCCCATCACCTTACAGGATCACACCCTCTAATCAGGGATCTTGGCTGTAAATTTGTCATTCCAAAAGCCTAGAGAGTTTTAATCCGTTCCTGTCATCCATGCCCTTTTGTATCAGTCTGCCCCAGCCAGTGTTAACTGGTCCGTTTTAAGCAAATCACATGTTTTGTGAAGAGATTCCAGCACTTTGTCTCATGCATGTGGAAGGGAGGATGCTGTTCACAGGATCTAACTGGAGAACAAACCATGCTGCTGTGTCAGATGAGAAAAAGAGACAAGATAGGCAGAATAGTCTGTTGCTTTGATCCTTGGCGAGACAAATCTGTCGTTTTAAAGGGCCAGTGGAGCTGGTGTGAGTGGATACTTTGTGTTATTAAACACTAAAATCAACACAAATACAGTACAGGGACATGCTCAGGTTAAAGAGCATATGTTTTTTAAAAGTGTTCCTGCCTTTCTTGGAAAGGAAGGGTAGTTTTGTGATTAAAGTACAGGACTGGGAGTTAGAAGTTCTGGATTCCATTTCTAGCTATACGAGAGGCTTCCTCTTTGACTTCAGGTAAACCACATTAACCGCTCTGTGCCTCAGTTTCTCTCTCTGAAAGATGAACATAATGATACCTACCTCACAAAAGCATTAAGAAATTTAATTCATAAATGTTTGCAATAGACAGTGTTAGAGAAGTAAAGAATATTAGTAATTATCATTAGCTGTGTTACTCCTGACACCTTCAATTTATAAAATGAAAAGATTTTACAAATCTGATTTACTTCTGACTATTTATGTTAGGTCTAGGGCTGAATTTGGTCAGTGAAAACTGGTCAGTTTCACTTTTATTTCCTCACCAATTTCACCTTCAGGTTCTCATGCAGTAGCTCAGAACTGCAAAGTTGGCAGACACTGGGGTCTTTGTTGCTGTGGTTCCCCCCCTTTGTGCAGCAGACATGGGTCTTCTCAAGCATCTTTGTGTGCTTACACTCCCACATAAAGCACCTCTAGACTGGGTCCTGCACATTATGAAATATGAGATTTAATCACAAGACTCAGGCTGTTAAATTGAGGTTCCTGGCCAAATTCTAGTTCAGGTGATTCCATTTTGCCTCTGCAGTTTCAGCTGGATATGGGCTTCTTCTTGACTCCCTCTCCTAAACTATATGCTTGCTGTGTGCTGTTAAACAGCTGCCACATTCCCCCCCAGAGATGGCTGCATTTTAGTGATAATGCCAATGTGTAACATGCATGCCAGTTTCATAAGCTCCCTGGGATTCTTTAGAAGGAAAAGGCTCTACAGGAACATGAGATAGTTATTGTTATTTGAGCTCATTTTGTAAGAGTTTTTAACCTTCAAACCTTGGTGAATTTCTTGCTGATGAAAGGTGTTGGATTGAGATCGCTCTGCAGAACAATGACAAGGCAAGCTTCCTCTGTGCAAGCTTCCCACCTTCAGCCTTGGAGGGACCCACTCTGGGGTAAGAGGCAAGTATGGCCCATTTAACCATTAGCCAAGACAGTCAGCTAGGTCCCACTGTAAATCCTAACATGCTGAGGGAACTTGTTCACACCATCGTTGTCCCCACATACTATGGAAGCCTGGTTCAGGCTTGCAGGGTAGATGAGAATATTTAGATAAATTAGAAGTATTCAAGTTGTCAGGGCCTGATTAAATTTATCCTAGGGTGCTTAGGGAACTAGCTGAAGCAATCCTTGGAACCATTAGCAATTATCTTCGATAACTCCTGGAGGATGGGTGAGGTCCCAGAGGAGTGGAGAACGGCAATCGTAATACTTGTCTTTAAAAAGGACAAAGACGACCTGGGGAATTATAGATGAGCCAGCCTAACTTTGATACTTGGGAAGATAGTGGAACAAATTATTTAATAATCAGTTTGTAAGCACCTAGAGGACAATAGGGTTAAAGGTAATAGTCAGCATGTATTTGTCAAGAACAAATCATGCCAAACCAATCTAATTTCCTTCTGTGGCAGCGTTACTGGGCTAGCAGATGCAGTAGACATGATATATCTGGATTTTAGTACGGCTTCTGACACAGTCTCACATGACAGTCTCAAACTGGAGAAAGTGGTCTAGATGAAATTAGCATAAAATGGGTGCATAGCTGGTTGACAAACTGTACTCAAAGAGTAGCTATCAATCGTTTGTTGTCAAATGGGTATGAAGTATCGAGTGGGACCCGGCACAGGTCTGTCTGGAGTCCAGTACTATTCAATATTTTCACAATATTTTCACTAATGACCTGGGTAATGGAGTGGTGTGCATGCAGATGACACCAAACTGGGAGAGATTGCAAGCACTTGGGAGGATAGGATTAGAATTCAAAATGACCTTGACAAATTAGAGTATTGGTCTGAAATCAACAAGATGAAATTCAGTAAAGACAAGTGCACAGTACTGCACTTAGGAAGGAAAAATCAAATGCACAAGTATAAAACGAGGAATAAATGGCTAGGTGGTAATACAGCTGAAAACGGTCTGGGGGTCATAGTGGATCACAAGTTGAAATATGAGTCAATAATGTGATGCAGTTGCGAAAAAGGTTAATATAATTTTGGGGTGTATTAACACAAGTGTCATATATAAGACACAAGAGGTAGTTGTCCCACTCTGCGCGGCACTGGTGAGGCCTCAGCCGGAGTTCTGAGTCCAGTTCTGGGAGTCACACTTTAA